AAAAGTTGTCAAATGTCCAATTAGAGCGAAGCCGTGGTCCCTGGTCCTGACCCCGCCCACCGCTGCCACGGCAACTATGCACCACAGCGCCTCTGGCTCTGCACCGCACGCTCGCTCCTCCTCGCTTTATTTGGACATATACAGTTAATGGAGGATTGTGAAAACGTACGTCACAGTATCAGCTGAAAGGAGACGCGTTACGCTGCTCCTCCGCGTTTTTAAACTCCGCACAGCTTCTCTGGAATCGTTTGGACGATTTCAGCCTTTGAATTGACCATTTCTACTGAACTAAAAGTAAAAAGGAGCTTGAAAACGACTTTGGAGATGTAGAAAAATGAATAAAATAAATACTTATAAACAAAACACAACTGCAGCTCCTTTTTTGAGGCGGTAACAACAACATGTTATAAATCTCAGAAGAGGCAGTTTTGTGTGAAATAAGACCTTTAAAAACAACTGCATTGCCTTATATTCTTTTACTTTCTACCAAGTTTTGCCGTTGTTTCCGAGGGCGCAGGTTTGCACAGAGACGGTGAGGACAAAATAATCCCTACTAATATTTGCCATTTTATTTTAATAAACAAAAATATACATTTATTCCGATATTTTTCCAAACTTCGTGATATTAATCGAGCATGTTTTAGTTCTGTGTGTGCAGACAAGGTCATCAAGACACTCGTCTATGCACCCGACCCCTATGAACCTCTGCGGGTGGTGAGTCCACAGGAGGGTGGACCCACGTTGGCCTTTCGGGCCCATGGACAAAGGCCCAACCCCAGGCCTGGCTCCAGGGCGGGGCCCCGGTTGTGCCATACCGGGCGACGTCAGGGTCCTGGATATTTCTAAGTTCATAAAGGTGTCCAGGGGCATAATGCCCCGGGCAACAAAGCTCCTAGGATCATTCAGGTGCTCAAACTCCCCCACCACGGTAAGGTGGCAGTTGGGGGAAGAGCTGGAGGACGTGTGTGGAGAGGGAGTCTGGGAGGCCCTTCTCAGACCCGACCCCGGATAAGCGGAAGAAAATGGATGGATGTTTTAGTTCACATTTTGTTTATTAGACGTTCTGAGATGTGTTCATTAGGGATTTAACGATATCCAAATCTCTCAGTACGATATTTATTGCGATATTTTGAATTATAGGCTAATATAATTGTACTTTTTTGGTTTTAAAATGCCTTGAGAAGATTATGACAGAATTATTTCTGTCAAAAACAGATTTCTTCATGTTGTCTGCGCTGAAATGAATCAGGGGAAATGTTGTTCCTGATGTTTCATCAGCCAGTTTCACTTCGTAAAAACCATGTGACCTCGCAGCATTAGGATTCGTTCGCTCATTGGTACCTTTTTTATTTAACCAATCGCTGTTGTTTGGTCGTGATGTTTGTAATGCTCCAGATCCCGTAGGAAGAAGAACAATAACGTCTTTCCTCTTGATAAAATTCACCAAACATTCTCTTTGTTCCGTTGCCAACACAGAATGTCTGTCTCTTCTCTGATTGGCTGGTGCCCGAACTCGCACTTCCAGGGTTTTTACAAACCGTCTAGTGTTTTCTGATTCTTGATCTAGTCTCTGGAGAGAAATTAAATTGAGCGGAGGCACTAGGTGGCACCAGCCTGGTTCATAAAACCTGCATTTAAACAAAAAAACTTCGATATATCGTGACAGTCCATGATATTACTGAGAGACTTTTCACGATACGATATCACGTATATCTGTCTTCAGTGATATGACGACAGGGTTACACCTGCCGCTGGTTCGTTGGCTGGAACGGAGTGATGTCATTAGTGGAGACAGGAGCCTAAACTGGGGAAGCGGCAGGACAGGACCAGGACAGGACCAGGACAGGACCAGGACAGGACCAGGACAGGACCAGGACAGGACCAGGACAGGACCAGGACAGGACCAGGACAGGACCGCACCTGAAGATGTCGGCTCAAAGAAACACTTTAGGTTGAAACTGGCGACTCAAAAGAGACACTTGGGTTAGACTTTTTATGTATTTACTTATTTTTCTTTTATATATAATCAAGAATAAACAAATTACAGATGGTACCAGTCAGAGTTGTATTTAAATCTGGTTCATTAGCAATATTTTAGAAATATTTTAGAAATATTTTAGAAATATTTTAGACTATTGCAGGTCTAGAACAGGTTTAAAGTGGACGATGGTTTCTGCTGTTGTTCTAAACAGGAGAAAGACTCTCGTGGGTCTTGAACGCTGCTCTAATCTCTTTGTTGCATTTTTATTAGTTAACAAAAATATTAAATTATATTTACAGGTCCTGAGTGTGCAGATTGTACATGTATGTCAAGCCAAACTGTCCACATTTAAGCCTATTTTTCTATTTTTAAGACATTAACACCTTATTTAATGTTTATTATAAGATTATTTGACATGTTGAATTGTTTTTCACATTATTACACATATGATCATGAAGTTTGCTGTGTCTTTTAAATTTGCCTGCAGGTGCTTCATTTTATGCTATTTCATTTTTTGCCCACTAGATGGCACAATAAGACGAGGAAAGGAGAGTGATTCTTTTACATGTTGAGCTGTTGGATTTTAATAAACCTGTTTATTTATGTTTAATCGTCTAAGTCCACATGACTGTTCGACACGTTCAGTCTCTGGGGCTGTTGTTGCGGCTCAGCTCTGCAAGGGGCAGGGGAAGAAACAAAAGAACCAAGATGGAGAATTTAATCAATTAAATAATGTTTAATCAACAGGAATGTAAAAGGTAAATAAAAAACAGACTAAAATATCGAAAATAACCGAAACTGAGATGTGCAGATCGTACGTGTGCAGGTTTGGTGCAGCTCTTTATTTAACAGCAGTTTTTTTCTTTTTCCTCACGTACGGTCACTTTATTTACGTCGGCAAAACCAGGTCCATAACAGAACTATTCCAGGTCTAAACCAGGTCTATAAGAGGACTATTCCAGGTCTAAACCAGGTCTATAAAAGGACTATTCCAGGTCTAATCTAGGACTAAACCAGGTACAAACAGCCCCCACAGTGGAGAGTTTTAAGTCTTGTCTCTTTATGATTATGTATGTATGTATTTATTTATTTATTTATTATCATTTAAGCTTTGACCATTTTAACACTTTTTATTTATTGTTTTTATTTCTGATTTACTGTCTTTTATTGTTTTCATTTGTCTGTGGGGCACTTTGGAAACTGTCATGTTAATAAAATGTGAAATAAAATGGACTGGATTAAATTGAAAACAGAACTATTCCAGGTCTAATCTAGATCTAAACTAGGTCTAAATCAGGTCTGTTCCAGGGCTAAACGAGGTCTAGAACAGGACTATTCCAGATCTAAACCAGGTCTAGAACAGGACTATTCCAGATCTAAACCAGGTCTAGAACAGGACTATTGAAGATCTAAACCAGGTCTAAACCAGGTCTAGAACAGGACTATTCCAGATCTAAACCAGGTCTAAACCAGGTCTAATCCAGGTCTAATCCAGGTCTAATCCAGGTCTAAACCAGGTCTAAACCAGGTCTAGAACAGGACTATTCCAGATCTAAACCAGGTCTAGAACAGGACTATTCCAAATCTAAACCAGGTCTAAGACAGGTCTAGAACAGGACTATTCCAGGTCTAAACCAGGTCTAAACCAGGTCTAGAACAGGACTATTCCAGGTCTAAACCAGGATTATTTCAGGTCTAAACCAGGTCTAAACCAGGTCTAAACAGGATATTTCAGATCTAAACCAGGTCTAAACCAGGTCTAAACCAGGATTATTTCAGGTCTAAACCAGGTCTAAACCAGGTCTAGAACAGGACTATTCCAGGTCTAAACCAGGATTATTTCAGGTCTAAACCAGGTCTAAACCAGGTCTAGAACAGGACTATTCCAGGTCTAAACCAGGTCTAAACCAGGTCTAGAACAGGACTATTCCAGGTCTAAACCAGGTCTAAACCAGGTCTAGAACAGGACTATTCCAGGTCTAAACCAGGTCTAAACCAGGTCTAGAACAGGACTATTCCAGGTCTAAACCAGGTTATTTCAGGTCTAAACCAGGTCTAAACCAGGTCTAAACCAGGATTATTTCAGATCTAAACAGGTCTAAACCAGGTCTAAACCAGGTCTAAACCAGATTATTTCAGGTCTAAACCAGGTCTAAAACCAGGTCTAGAACAGGACTATTCCAGGTCTAAACCAGGATTATTTCAGGTCTAAACCAGGTCTAAACCAGGTCTAGAACAGGACTATTCCAGGTCTAAACCAGGTCTAAAACCAGGTCTAGAACAGGACTATTCCAGGTCTAAACCAGGTCTAAACCAGGTCTAAACCAGGTCTAAACCAGGTCTAGAACAGGACTATTCCAGGTCTAAACCAGGTCTAAACCAGGTCTAGAACAGGACTATTCCAGGTCTAAACCAGGATTATTTCAGGTCTAAACCAGGTCTAAACCAGGTCTAAACCAGGATTATTTCAGATCTAAACCAGGTCTAAACCAGGTCTAAACCAGGATTATTTCAGGTCTAAACCAGGTCTAAACCAGGTCTAGAACAGGACTATTCCAGGTCTAAACCAGGATTATTTCAGGTCTAAACCAGGTCTAAACCAGGTCTAGAACAGGACTATTCCAGGTCTAAACCAGGTCTAAACCAGGTCTAGAACAGGACTATTCCAGGTCTAAACCAGGATTATTTCAGGTCTAAACCAGGTCTAAACCAGGTCTAGAACAGGACTATTCCAGGTCTAAACCAGGTCTAAACCAGGTCTAGAACAGGACTATTCCAGGTCTAAACCAGGATTATTTCAGGTCTAAACCAGGTCTAAACCAGGTCTAAACCAGGATTATTTCAGGTCTAAACCAGGTCTAAACCAGGTCTAGAACAGGACTATTCCAGGTCTAAACCAGGATTATTTCAGGTCTAAACCAGGTCTAAACCAGGATTATTTCAGGTCTAAACCAGGTCTAAACCAGGTCTAAAGTGGACTATGGTTTCCACTGTTGTTCTAAACACGAAAGGTCTTGAACGCTGCTCTAGTCTGTTTTGTTGCATTTTTATTAGTTAATAATAAAAAATATAAAATTATAAAATTAAAATATATTTACAGATCTTTTCTTTTCCCTCACGCACTGTCACTTTATTTACGTCGGCAGCGGAGGACGGTGCGCGTGTTGTAGTCCTTTCTCTGGGAGTTGTAGTTTTTACTGAACAGTTGTAGTTTCCTCCGCAGAGAAAACAGCTCCTTCTCCTCACTGCTCCTCGGTCCTAAACCAGGACTAAACCAAGTCTAAAACAGGACTAAACCAGGACTAAACCAGGACTAAACTAGGACTAAACCAGGTCTAAACCAGGTCCAAACCAGGTATTTGTGAGTCCAGTTTGTTGGTGTTAAAGTGTGGTCAGTGTCGCCCTCTAGTGGACAGTTGGAGTCTGGTTTCGTTTTCCTGGTTCTGAGTTGGGTTTCGTTTCTGTCAGGTTTGTGTGAGTCTTGGGCGCAGTTGAAAAGGGCTCAGGTCACTCGGGTCTCCTCACACCGGGTCAGCTTTGCTCGTGAGTATCTTTGCTTTTTTCTATTCTCCACAAATATAAAAAGTGAAGTCAGCAGTAAAATAAGTTTTGTGCTGGAGGGTTTGTCAAATGATTTTCTACATGAAGATGTTATTAAACCAGATCTAAACCAGGTCTAGAACAGGACTAAAACAGGTCTAGAACAGGACTAAACCAGGTCTAGAACAGGACTAAACCAGGACTAAACCAGATCTAAACCAGGTCTAGAACAGGACTAAACCAGGACTAAAACAGGTCTAAACCAGGACTAAACCAGGTCTAGAACAGGACTAAACCAGGTCTAGAACAGGACTAAACCAGGTCTAGAACAGGACTAAACCAGGTCTAGAACAGGACTAAACCAGGTCTAGAACAGGACTAAACCAGATCTAAACCAGATCTAAACCAGGTCTAAAACAGGACTAAACCAGGTCTAGAACAGGACTAAACCAGGTCTAGAACAGGACTAAACCAGATCTAAACCAGGACTAAACCAGGTCTAAACCAGGTCTAGAACAGGACTAAAACAGGTCTAAACCAGGTCTAGAACAGGACTAAACCAGATCTAAACCAGATCTAAACCAGGACTAAACCAGGTCTAAACCAGGTCTAGAACAGGACTAAACCAGGTCTAGAACAGGACTAAACCAGATCTAAACCAGGACTAAACCAGGTCTAAACCAGGTCTAGAACAGGACTAAACCAGGTCTAGAACAGGACTAAACCAGATCTAAACCAGGTCTAAACCAGGACTAAACAGGTCTAAAACCAGGTCTAGAACAGGATTAAACCAGGTCTAGAACAGGACTAAACCAGGTCTAAACCAGGTCTAAACCAGGTCTAGAACAGGACTAAACCAGGTCTAGAACAGGACTAAACCAGATCTAAACCAGGTCTAAACCAGGACTAAACCAGGTCTAAACCAGGTCTAGAACAGGACTAAACCAGGTCTAGAACAGGACTAAACCAGATCTAAACCAGGTCTAAAACAGGACTAAACCAGGACTAAACTAGGTCTAGAACAGGACTAAACCAGGTCTAGAACAGGACTAAACCAGGTCTAAACCAGGTCTAAACCAGGACTAAACCAGATCTAGAACAGGACTAAACCAGGTCTAAACCAGGTCTAAACCAGGACTAAACCAGGACTAAACTAGGTCTAGAACAGGACTAAACCAGGTCTAAACCAGGACTAAACCAGGTCTAGAACAGGACTAAACCAGGTCTAAACCAGGTCTAAACCAGGTCTAAACCAGGTCTAAACCAGGACTAAACCAGATCTAGAACAGGACTAAACCAGGTCTAAACCAGGTCTAAACCAGGACTAAACCAGGACTAAACCAGGTCTAGAACAGGATTAAACTGGATCTAAACCAGGTCTTTAACATGACTATTTCAGGTCTAATCTAGGTGTTAACCAGGTCTAGAACAGGACTAAACCAGGACTAAACCGGGTCTAAACCAGGTCTAGAACAGGACTACTCAAGGTCTAATCTAGGTCTATAACAAGGACTAAACCAGGACTAAACCAGGTCTAGAACAGGACTAAACCAGGTCTAATCCAGTACTAAACCAGGACTATAGCAGGACTAAACAAGGACTAAACCAGATCTAAACCAGGTCTGGAACAGGACTAAACCAGGTCTAATGTAGGTCTAAAAGTCTGTTGCATTTTTCTTAGTTGCCAAAAATATAAAATTATAGACACAACATGATTCTAGTCAAAATACTAATAAAAGTACTTAGATTTCTGAGGTGAAATAAAGTTTGTGTACAGATTATTCACACACAGTTTATTCTTTCTGTTGCAGTTGCAGTGTTCCAGACTCGAAGGTTCTGCTCGAGGAAGTGAAGGAACCCAAAAAAGCCCGTCTCACTGAAGCCGGTGCCACCGTCGAAGTCACAAGATCCACAAACACCTCAGATTTCAATGGAGAAACGCCGTACAGATCCAGAGGAAGAACCAGGTCGCTTGGGCAGAGCAGCGGCTGTGAGATCTTCTCTGAGGAACCCGGAACCTGAACCTGAAGCCACCGGAGCCAGGCCTAAGACCGGGCAGCCCTCCAGAAAATCCAGCTCCAAGTGTGAGGAGGTTACAGAAAAAAGTGAAAAGGAGAAAACCAAATTGCTCCTTTCTTGTTTTTACTGTAAGGGAGATCACGCCTTTCAAGAGTGTCTCCAGTTTGCACAAAATCCACAAGAACAAAAGCTGGAGTTCTTGAGAAAGGCCGGCCTCTGTTTCGGGTGTTTGGGTGAAGGTCATCGTTCACGAAACTGTCGCTCGAGAATCGTCTGCTCCATTTGCTCCAAGGACCATCCGAGAATTCTGCACAAAAAGACAATACACGAAACGATGAAGGAACTTTTGGAAAGTAATTTGGTATATATAGGGGGTAAAAAGTGAACACGAAAATGAAAACTCAACTTCTTTTGGCGCCCAAACCAAACAAACAAACAAATCATGACCATGATTATGAAAAGCAAATCAGAAATTACATAAAATGTTACAGGTATAATCTAGGACTAAACCAGATCTATAACAGGACTATCCTAGGTCTAAAGCAGGTCTAATCTAGGACTAAACCAGGTCTGTAACAGGACTTTCCTAGGTCTAAAGCAGGTCTAATCTAGAACTAAACCAGGCCTATAACAGGACTATTCTTGGTTTAATGTAAATCTAAACCAGGTCTATAACAGGACTAGTCCTGGTCTAATTTTGGTCTAAAAATGGTCTGTAACAGGACTATTTCAGGTCTAATCTAGGACTAAACCAGGCCTATTCCAGGTCTAAAGCAGGTCTAAATTAAGTCTATAACAAGACTAATGTCTAAGTCTAAACCAGGTCTGTAACAGGATTATTCCAGGTCTAATTTTGGTCTAAACTAGACTAATCTAGGACTATACCACGTCTATAACAGGACTATCCTAGGTCTAAACCAGGTCTAGAATAGGACTGTTCCAGGTCTAATTTTGGTCTAAAACAGGTCTATAAAAGAACAATTTCAGGTCTAATCTAGGACTAAACCAGGTCTATTGTAGGTCTAAATCAGGTCTATAACAAGACTAATCTTGGACTAAACCAGGTTTAGAACAGGACTGTTCCAGATCTAATTAAGGTCTAAACCAGGTCTATTCCAAACATCATCGTTATGAATGACCAATGCGAGCAGAATTTTCAGACTTTTTTAGTCTCTCTGGAGCATTCTAGCACCAAATCTTCACTGAACTTTCTTGGGGATCAATAAAGTAAATCTATCGATCTATTTATCTATCTGTCTATCTTCTGTATCTGCTTCATCTCTCCCTCCTCTGCGTGAGGGCGGAGTCTTGATGGAATCACCGCCTTTAAGGCAAATGAAGCCTCAGTTCTGAAGCCGGACTTTGCCAGAGTTTTCCGTCCTCTTCCGTGATGATCTTTAAAACATCAGAACTTTGAGCTCTCGAAATCTATTTCCTTGTTTTCTGCTGTCGGTCTCCTGCGTCTTTGAGGTTGGGGCACGGTTTAAACTTTTGAAACTGCAAACCCAAGAACCACAACCCTTTGGATTTGGATTGTGGACTGTTTATTGGGACCACTGACCTTCCATGAACGTCTAATATCTGCATGTGTAAGTCTTGCCATTTTTTTTTGTTATTTGCCATCTCAAGTCAAGTGAAGAATTATAGATCGTAGCTCCAAGTGCCTGGCTTTACCGCAGTAAACAAAGAGCCTCTATACTGAATCCTCCGTGGCGCCATTTTGTTTTGCATATCATTTGCTTTGTTGGGTGAACTGAAAAAACCCGATGAGTTTTTGGAATATAGACCAAGGTTTATTCTTGTTACAGCAGATATGGACAGGGTCTAGGCCTGTTTCGGCCAAAGCCCAACAGCCTCTCACCCCTGTCTCCTCCCGTCTCTTCCCATCTCCCTCCCCAGAGCCTTTGAGCTCTGAGTATTTATACAGAAATACAAGTCACATACATACATATCAATGCAGAGTGACTTGTTTGAGAGGCGGGTGCTTAATTAACATACAGTTGTTGATAACAAAAGGCTTCCTGAAGGCGGAGACAGTTGTGCCTGATGAACCTTTACACATGTTCATGACTGGTCTGGGTTTCAGGTAGAAATCACATTAATTTACACAAGACAGATTGAGAGAAATCTTTCCACAATCTAAATTTCTATCACACATTCTCCCTTTTGATTATTCATTAATCATACTTTATAAACAGTCATTGTCACACACATAATATGTGGAAAATTTAAAACAGTCCATGGAGTTAAAGTGAGTTCCATTAGTTGGAGGCAAATTCAACAGTTCACTTTTAAGGAGGATTGTTTTTGTTCAGTTTGTTCATTTCCAGTATGATTTGTAGTCACAAGTAGAATATCGCTTGTCCTCTGTCCCTTTGTCCTCCCTTTGACCACACATGGCTTTAGTCTCCCCACGCAGCTTGGCCTCTCTCTGAGCCACAGCTCGTCTCTTTGGTCCATGTGTCCATCTTCAGGGCTGTGGTTGAGCACGAGAGGAACAAGTCGAGTTTTGAAAAGTTGTGGATGGCTGAACTTTTGTGAAGTTTTTCTCCAGTGACAGTTGTAAAGCAGAAGGATGGTTAAATGATGCAGGTCTGATTCTGCGCAGGACAAGATACTTTTGTTTGGACCAGGTGGAACGTTATTTCCTGGCTTCAGACCATTCACTGTGGTGGTCTCTGTCTTGAAGGGTGTTGTCAGGTTACAGGTCTTGTAGTTGAAAAATGGAAAACAGTCTCTAAGTGATCTAAAACAAATTTTCTTATATTCCCCCCTTTGACACATTTATGTGTCAATTTTGTTCTACAGGCTTAGTTGACTTAGTTGTCTTCTACTGTAAGAAATTATGTTGGTTAAATTCCACTTCTGAAAGAAACATTTTGTTAAAACTTTTAGTGGTTAGTTGTTAATGTTGTTAGTCATAAGATGTTTGAAGAAAGGAAGAGAAAATTATGCAGCATCCATATTCCCTGTAACAAAAACTATAAAAAATTTAAATTATTAAAGAAATTCGCAGGTGCATAGTGGTCAAGGATGGTCAAGTCAGTCAAGTCAAGTTTGTTGTGATCACAAGTGGCTTTGATACGGCCTTCATTTTGTTTTTAAGAGAGCTCACCAAAATATACTGAATTTCTGGAGGAACCAATTACAACTACGGAGTTTTCTGGTACCAGCTGGACTTTTTTAGGACATCATTAAAAATCAATAAGCAAAACAAAACAAATATCATTAAAAAAGAAAATATAAAAAAAAAGTAACTCTAAAATGAGCAACCCAGTTAACTTGATCCTTGATCCTATCATTTTTCTTGCTGACACTGTTGACAACAGGCTCAAATGTTAAACACAGATTTTCTGACAATGCACAATTTACAATCATACATTTTGACTGTTCAGGTCCCAAGGACACTGAAACATATAGTCACACTCTGTATTTTAGCACAATTTTCTGTATGTAAATCTTTTTTTTTTTTTTTTCTTTTTTTTTTTTTTTTTTTTCAATTCTTTTTCTTTCTTTTTTTTTCAAATTTTTTTTCAATCTTTTCTTTTTCAATTTTTTTTTTTTTTTTTTAACATGTTGCAACAGTTCAACACATATGTAAGTTTACATTTGTCTTCAAACATTTTCCATTTACAATACATAATATCTCCATTCTTAACTGCTCCCTTGAATCTACTCTCCCTCATGAGAAAGTCTCAGCCCGTCTTTACACTCAACTACACAGGGAATTGCACCCTTTTGCCTTTTTCTAGTCAGTAACCCTAGATAGGAGTTTCACCTAGTGACTGTTCGGTAAAGAGCAGGGACTTTCACCCATTTGACTGTTCACTAGCTAGTTACTACTAGAGGGGAATTTCACCCAGTGACTGTTTGGTAGTTCGCTGTAGTGACTGTGCTTAGTTCTACTCTGGAGAATACATTCAAGTAGTCCAAATTCTAGATACTATGTAAAGCAAAATGTAACAAAACTAAACCCATGTTCATTAAAATACGAGGGCAAGTAAATCAGAAAGGGAAAAAAAAAAAAAAAAAAAAACATCAGTAGCCTTTAGATTACTTCCAAATGAAAATCATTAATGTCCCAGGAAGTTGGAGATGGATCATGTGCGGGGGTTGTGACTGGGTCACAGTCAGCACAGCAGGCGGTAGCGTCATCACAGGTTAGGGAAGAGGGTGGTGGCGTACTATAGTTCCATATTGGCTTTTGGGTCACAAGCTGACTTGGAGAAGATGGTGTAAATGCAGAGGGCTCATGGCGTAAAGAGCACTCTCGTCTCCAATGTCCAAGTTGACAACAGATAAAGCATGGTTCTTTGGAAAATCTTCTCTTGTTCTTTCGATTGGCTTTTCTCCTCTCTTTGTTCTGCTTACATGTTGGCTGAAGAGTCTTTAGTTGTTTCTGAAATCTTAAATCTAGTTGGTGATTTTCACTTTCATGTGTCTTATTGTACATAGTCACAGCTGCCATATGCAGTTCTTTCTGCATTCTCTCTTGCTTCATTACTTTCTTTCTCAGTAGCTGTTCATATGCATGTGTGGCATGTCTTTTCAGTTCAGTTAGGCGAGCAGCATTCCAGCCAATGCAAGTTTTCTTCACAGCTGAAGAAATGTCTGTTTTTAGTCCACTGATGAAGTAGTTACACAGGTATGTTTCCCAAACATCACGAGTCACACCTAAGTGATCAGGTCTTGTAAATCCACTGTGGGTGTTATACACTTCTGTTAAACGTGTGAGAAACGCTTCAGGGTCCTCAGCCTCTCTTTGTTTGCAGGATTGGATTTTGTCAGTATCGATGGAGGCAGGAAAGGCTTTGGTGATAGCTATGCAGATGTTGTTCACAGCTTCCCTATACAAAGCATTAGAGTCATGTTTCCAATCCACGTGATTGCATCGCAGTTCAATGTTCTGCAGTTGATCAGCTATTTTATGCCATTCTGTAGGTTTCATTTTCATGATCAACACTCTCCTCAGTTCACTCATAGTGGGCTTGAAGTCTTGACAAAACGTGTTTAGTTCTTTAGCAAAAGTCTGACCTGATGTTGTGGGATTGGGCAGATGTTGAGATGCTGCAGATATTTCAGAAGAAGTCCATGGACGGAAAACTAATGTTGGATTTTGTTGACCAGAGACTTCAACCATTGGCATAGTGAGCGTTGCTTGTTCAACATGGCGGTGTAGTCTCTGAGCAGTGGATGAAAAGTCCTGTTGTGATGGGGGTGGTGGAGCTTTGAGTTGTGAGAAGTTATTTGGTGAAGGATCAGACAGCAACTGTTGAGACAAAGAGTTCTGCGAGTGGGGCTGTTTCAATTCACACATTTCAGTTGCATCTTTAAAGAGAAGAGGTTGTTTGTACATAGATTTTCTTATTTTGCTCTCAGCTTCATCTTTCCACATTTTGACACAGTCCTTGTAATTTTCAATGTTGTCTAATTTTTTTATTAGAAATTTTACTTTTTCTTTCACTTCGACTTCAATCTCACATAACTTGTTTTCCAATGCCAGAACATTCTTTAAAGTGAATGCACCAAATTCTGAAGAATTCTTATCTCCATGTTTTCTTCTCAAAAAATCAACAATGGAACCTTCTGGTGGTGTATACTCCCTTGAAGTTTTGCTCCCCATTTTGTTTTTGCACTTGTAACTTCCAATAGCTTAGTTTCCGTGGCTTAAAAAAGAGCGGTCTAGAATGTCCCAAAGGTGAGGAAATTAAAAGCGGGGATGGTCTTTGTTGTTGACACTGTAGTTGCAGCATGATATTTTTGAGCCAAAATATTGAAAAAGGTCAATCAAGTAATTGAAATATGAGAATTTTGCTTTTGTGAGATTAATTTAAAAATCTATAGGAATAGGGTTAGAGTTTGGCATGTTTCAAAAAGTCCATTTAACTCCAATAGGAGGCATACTGTCCTTTGAACATTTCCAAGTGTTTGTAGATGAAGGTTTCCATTAAATTATCTTAAATGAAATAAAGTCTATTTTGCAAAAGCTCACCAAGCAAATCTTGTTCGAATCCAGCGGTGATGATCCAGGAGAGAAGCCAATGTCCATCCATGTCTTTCATTGCTCCATGCATCCGAGAAAAAACAAAAGCTGACAAAATTCCATTTGCGCTGTGTTCTGGACGGTCACTCGTGGATCCCGCTTCTTGACACCAAATTGTTGTGGCAAAAATTATATATCTCTTGAAGATAAATAATGAATCCATTTGCGAAGCCCGATGAGTTTTTGGAATATAGACCAAGGTTTATTCTTGTTACAGCAGATATGGACAGGGTCTAGGCCTGTTTCGGCCAAAGCCCAACAGCCTCTCACCCCTGTCTCCTCCCGTCTCTTCCCATCTCCCTCCCCAGAGCATTTGAGCTCTGAGTATTTATACAGAAATACAAGTCACATACATATCAAAGCAGAGTGACTTTGGTTTCAGAGGGTGGTACTAAATTAACATACAGTTGAGGACAACAAAAGGCTTCCTGAAGGCGGAGACAGTTGTGCCTGATGAACCTTTACACATGTTAATGACTGGTCTGGGTTTCAGGTAGAAATCACATTAATTTACACAAGACAGATTGAGAGAAATCTTTCCACAATCTAAATTTCTATCACAGGTGATTTGCATTTCGCCGGGGGGTAGCCTCTTAGAAGATGGCATTACGTGGAGGTTCACTTCGTGCTACATCGTCTTCAGTCCGCCTTAAAGACTTGGTCAGGAGAGACACCTTAAGGGAAAAGACGCTCACCGCGGAACACGAAAAGGCTCAGGTGGAACACAAACCCCTAGACCCACACCAAGCTGCCGGAGCCAGGCCCAAGTCCGGCAGACCCTTGAGACGATCCAGCTCCGTGACTTCGGACGAATGGAGGCGAGCGGAGGTCACAGAAAGCCAAACGGAGAAAACCAGAGACCAGAGGGCCGATTCAAAACAGACAAGAGCAGCGGCTGGGAGGTCTTCTGTGAGGAACCCTCCGCCTGAACCTGAACCAAAGCCCCCGCACCCACACCAAGCCGCCGGAGCCAGGCCTAAGACCGGCAGACCCTTAAGAAAATCCAGCTCCGTGACTTCAGAAGAACGGAAGTGTGAGGAGGTTACAGAGAGTCAAAAAGAGAAAACCAAAAGGCTCCAGAGAGAACAGAGAGCCGATTCCAAACAGACAAGAGAAGTGAACAGAGCTCTGAGCCCTCCGTGTTTGTACTGTAAGGGAGATCACGCCTTTCCAGAGTGTCTCCAGTTTGCAAAATATCCAGAAAGGCTAAGGTTGGAGGTCGTAAGAAATTCAGGCCTCTGTTTCGGGTGTTTGGGTCAAGGACATTTTTCAAGAGACTGTCCAGCAAGAATCGTCTGCTCCATTTGCTCCAAGGACCATCCTAGAATTCTGCACATAAAGACAAGAGACGAGATGTTTGAGGAGATGAAGGAAGGTTTGAAGTTTTTTGTCCTCTCTCGTCAACCAAACAAACCACGACCATGATTATTAAATGACAGTCAAAAATATATATAAAAAACCTTTCCTAACCTTAAAGGTGCGTAACTCTTCTGGAGAGGGTCCTCAACCTGTTTGTCTCCGTGAAGATGTCAACGGTTTAGTTTAAATTGTCCACAGTTTGGTTTTAAACTTTTCTGTCTTGTATTTATCCAACTACGGTGTTGTTTATATCCAAAAATATAAACGCCTCTCCACAAATCGAACCTGTGATTTGGATCGCAAGTCTTCGTGAAGGTTCATAGGTTTGTGTCCATTCTGTGGAACGTTCCAGACGCATCTTCATGGAGACCAGCAGGTGACGAACCCTCCACCACAAAAGATCCAAACTGCAGCTTTAACTACAGCCCTGGTCCTGAAAAGCAGGTCTAATCTAGGTCTAAACCAGGTCTGTAACAGAAATATTCCAGGTCTAATTTTGGTCTAAAAAAAAAAAAAAGGTCTATAACAGGACTATTTCAGGTCTAATCTAGGACTAAACCAGGCCTATTCCAGGTCTAAAGCAGATCTAAATCAGGTCTATAACCAGACAAATCTAGGACTAAACCAGGTCTATAACAGGACTATTCCAGGTCTAACCTAGGTCTAAACCAGGTCGATAACAGGACTATCCTAGGTCTAAAGAAAGTCTATAATCTAGGACTAAACCAGGTCTAGAACAGGACTATTCCAGGTCTAATCTAGGTCTAAACCAGGTCTAATCTTGGACTAAACCAGGACCTATTCCAGGTCTAAATCCTGTCTACATCAGGTCTATAACAAGATTAATCTAGGACTAAACCAGGTCTATAACAGGACTATTCCTGGTCTAATCTAGGACTAAACCAGGTCTATTCCAAACGTCATCACCAGGAATGACTAATCCTAGCAGACTTTTCAGATTTTTTTAGCACTAAGTCTAACTTTAACTCTAGATCTATTTATCTTTCTGTCTATCTTCTGTATCTGCTCCGTCTCTCCCTCCTCTGCATGAGGGCGGAGTCTTCCTGGAATCACCTCCTTTAAGGCAAATAAAGCCTCAGCTCCGAAGCCGGACTTTGCCAGAGTTTTCCGTCCTCTTCTTGATCTTCAAAACATCAGACAAACTTTGAGCTCTCGAAATCTATTTCTTTGTTTTCTGCTGTCGGTCTGCTGCGTCTTTGAGGTTGGGGCACGGTTTAAACTTTTCAAACTGCAAACCAAGAACCTCACAATGAATTTTAAACACGGAACTGTACTCTTTTCTTTGGATTGTGGACTGTTTTTTGGGGAAAACTAACCTTCCATGAACTTCTAATATCTGCATGTGTAAGTCTGGCCATTTTTTCATTATCCACCATCTCAATTCAAGCGAAGAATTATAAATCGTAGCTCCAAGTACAAACGTAGAGCCAACTGTACTGAATCCTCTGTGGCTCCTTTTCGTTTTGCATAGCATTTGCTTTGTTGGATCATTTGCATCAGCCGACGTCTTTAAAATGACATTGCGTGGAGGTTCACTTCGTGCCACGGCCTCTTCAGTCCGCTTCAAAGACGTGATCAGGAGAACCGCCTTCACAGAAAAGATGCTCACTGCAGAAAAGGCGCCGCAATCCTCGATCGACAAAGCAGAAGTTCCAAAAACCCTTCAGACGTCAATCGCGAAACTGCAAGTGTGTGAAGGTTCTGCCAAGGATGGAAAAGAAGATAAGCAAATAAACAAACCTGTGAGATCTTCTTTGAGGAACCCTCCGCCTGAACTTGAACCTGAACCTGAACCTGAACCTGAACACAAACCCCCAAACCCACACCAAGCCGCCGGAGCCAGGCCAAAGTCCGGCAAGACCCTTAAGACGATCCAGCTCCGTGACTTCAGAGGAATGGAGGCGAGCGGAGGTCACGGAAAGCCAAACGGAGAAAACCAAAACGCTCCCGAGAGAACAGAGAGCCGATTCTAAACAGACAAGAGCAGTGAACCGAGCCCTCAGCCCTCCGTGTTTGTACTGTAAGGGAAGTCACCCGTTTAAAGAGTGTGTGCAGTTCGCGAAACATCCTCACGACCTGAAGCTGGAAGTCTTAAAAAAGGCGGGCCTCTGTTTTGCGTGTTTGGGTGAAGCTCATTTTCCAAAAAGCTGTCACTCTAGACTTCGCTGCCCCTTCTGCTTCAGGGATCACCCTAAAATCCTTCACATACAGTCGCTGGACGAGTGGATCAAGGAGCTGTTCAAAGAAAACAAAGAGCTCACAGTGGGTAAACTGTTTAACATGAGACGGAGCTGCGACTTGGTGTGAGCTCCAGAAAGAAAACTGAACTGGACTACATTTTGGACAGTTTCATATAATATTACTACATCCCAGAGCAAGATGCATTCTTACAAGGGATGTGACAATATCCAACTCTCCTGTTACGATATTATCACAGTTATTGTATTGTATTATTGTGTTGTGTCAGTCATGTGATTTAATGTTTTGGTGGCCGTACTAGAGGTCAAGACTGGGATTATTCAGTTTATTACAATATAATCATGGTGACTTTAAACAGCGCAAACGACATAAAACTGTCTGAAATCACCGTCATTAGAAAAAATATAAATCTAAAGTCGTCCTCCTGGGTTGTGGAATAGATCTAATTCCGATGAAGCTTTGTCAGTCTAATCAACGCTCGCTCTGTGCCCGACCTTTAGTCTCCAGATATTTACAACGACTTCATTCATTCGACATCGTCCTGCACCAACTGAAAATCTACACAGAGTTAGAGGATTATAAATATTTTGTAGTGGGACGCGTGAGATCTTTGTTGATCACCAAACGTCACATCTGTTCCTGAAAACAGTCAGGGGAAGTAGAATGGGGGTCAAAATCAGAGCCGGAGCGACCGTTTATTTTGTTTTGAACAGTTAATTTTTATGGAAACTGCTGTAACTTTTCATCATTCTAAAACGATGTGAATATAAGAAAAATAACCAATCATCTGTGTCTCTGATAGGTAACCTGCTGATCCTTGTATAGTGTAAACAAATAAAACTTTTTGTGCTCTGTATTGTACAAAACTCGTCTGTGTAGCAGCTGCTTTGTAAATTGTCTCTAAGCATCAACTTATTAAAGGCCTCAGTGTGACTCTGCATTGTTCTTGTTCTTAACCTGTTACCATCCACCTAATTTTGGCGTGTGCACAATAGCACTACATACCCAAATGCCATAGCTTATTAAAAGAAAACCTTAGAACCCACATGCTTGTGTGAGGCACCATTTTAAAGCTTAGACCTTCTAGTTTCTGTAGATATGTACATGAAGACTGTGAGTGCTGCCTAACCTACAGTACAGTCAATTAAATATTGTATTTTTTGCTTCGAAAAAAAAAATTAAAAATAAATAAAGGCCTTTAGCTTGGTCATACTTCATGCTAGGCATTTGTGACTCACTACACTCATTGTTCAAGTTGTTGGCAACAACTGTGTAGAATTTCAGATCTCTAGGACAAAGGGTTTTGATGCTGTGAGCCTTTGTGTAAACAAAATGACAATTCGGCACAAGATTGCCAAATTTGTGCCAAAATAATAATAATAATAAAAAAAGAATAATAATAATAATTGTTATTATTATAATACTACTTCTTCTGAGCTTTAGGCATGTTTTCTCAAGAAAAAAAAACTAAAAGTAGCCAAAATTGTCTTCCAAGCGTCAGATCTGTCCACTATGGCCCCTCCCCCACTGCTTCTCTGTGTCTCTGTTGCTCTTGTAAACACAGCGTCTGTTTCAAAGACTGTCTGCATGCCCCACCCACCGTTTGAAAGCTCTGGTGATAGGTTAAAACAATATGTCAATCACTGGAAGATCCAATGACTGAAGAGATTTCCCGTAAACAAACTGATGACGCGTGCGTAAAGCCAGGAAGTACGTGGGTGCGTTAGCTTCTTCAGCGGCTTGTCCCAGCTAAACCCCGGCACCGACAACAGCGGGGAGGGTCTCATTTTGAAGCTAAGAGTGTGAGGAAAACAAGCGTACCCAAGAGCGCCAAGAGAAACGGAACTCAGAGAGGGAGAAGGCAACATATTTTCATTCACGCATTCATCCATTCATACGGACGAGGATTTTCTGGATTATTTACCCACATGGAATTATTTTATGGAAAAAACAACTTGATATTCTTTTTCTGTGGATTATTACGGACTTATTGAGTACAACTTTTCATGGATTGAACGCGTGTTGGACCGACAGAACCGGCTCAAAGGTAAGAAACGCGTATCTTATTCTTTGATTATGATGTGAATTTTTAAGTTATAGAGTTTTGGGCTCGTTGTACGGCATAAAATGAATGATATGGTTGTTTTATTGATAAATTAACCTTTCAAATGATGTATGGCCAGTAGTGAAAACAATAATGAAGGTGAATATACAGAGTGAACATTTTTTATTGGAAAATCGCTCGTCGGCGGGCGGGTGACTCAAAACAGCAAAGGCGTCCTCTTTCTGTCCAATCACAGCTCTGAATCCAGTGACGTTGTTGCTGCTAAAGGTCCTGGTGACACCAACTCAAAATCTGAGTGGTTGTAGCAACATGGACATTTCATGGACATTTATTTTGTGTTCGCGTTCCTGCAGAACGGATCATATATATATATATATATATATATATATATATATATATATATATATATATATATATATATCCATGTTCCACACCTGCCATACCTGTGAACTGGACTTTGCATTGATGCAGCGACAACAATCCCATCTGCACTTTATACTGTATCTACCTCTGCTGTTTTGTCATGTTGTTGTATATATAAATTAAAATTTGAAAAAGAAATTCAAAGCCGGGTTTCAAATCAAATATGTATTAGAGCTGGCGTGCTGGCTACAGGCTATGGAGACTTTATTTATTTAAAATATATATATTATTTTATATTCTGCTTGTTCTGGATTCAATGTTTAAGTGAAACTATTATTAATGATTTATTTTAATAAGAAAAGGTTTATCATTACATAAATTGAAAGAAGAGCAAAAATATGCTGATAATTTTCAATAAACATTTAGTTTGGCCCACGACTTAGTCCCAGTGTTTTAATTTTGGCCTCTGTGAATTTGAGTTTGACACTCCTGACCTAATGAAACAATGATCTAATGAAATAAATAATCTTCCAGACTCTTTTCGCTTCTGATCCGGTAAATCAGGGGTCTCAAACTCAAATTACCTGGGGGCCACATTAGATAAAGTCTGAGTGAGGCTGGGCCGCATTGAGTAATCGATAAATCGATAAATAACGGTTGCACGGGAAAAAAAGAGAGAGAAAGAACAACACGCAACACACTTTCTTAATCTTTAATAACAGTTCAGAACATGAAAATGTATTCAGAACGCAAGTTTAAACTAATACGTCTACTCTTCTTCTTTTGCCTACTTCTTGCTGGTTGAAACCTGGCTACACTTCATCTTGTACAGCTGAGAGATATTTGACTTGCAGGAGGAAGCAGATCCTCAGGATAGATTGAAGATGCTCATCAGTGAGCCTTGACCTGTAGTTTGATGGTGCTTTCACACACTTTCACACTGGTGTGAACGCGAACCCGGGTCCAAACCACAGACAGCAGGTCCAAACGAACTATTCGAAATGCATCATGGGAGAAACGCGTCTCCTTTGCCTGTAATGACGCTGTACGACTCCAGCGCAGTAACAGATTGTTGTCCACACACAGCCGCGATTCATTTTCGAATTATTTTACCAACAATGGCCAATACAGAGAATGTAACACACGAAGATCAGAGCAAGAACCAATGTGTGAACGTGTGGCTCCAGAGTGAGTCAAAAATGGGGGTGTGTACTTCTGTTCAGGACCTGCACAGAGGACCCGGTGTTCCCCGTGATCATGTAGGAACCACACTGAAAAAACGGTCCGAGAGGGGTTGCTCAAATTGCAAAAACAAATTTGACAACAATAACATCACTTTTTTACGTTTCTCTGTCCAGCATGTTTAAATCTTACAAACATCGCTTGATTGTGGCCGATGTGAGACCTGCATGTTTTAATCAGGTTGAGGAAGCATGACTATTATAATCTGTGGTGAGGATCCTTCCTCTGGAATTCTCCTCCCCAAAACTTTTGGAGGGAAAATTCAGATGTAGCAGGACACAGGACAGATCCAGGAGCAGAGACACACAGTGTGGAGCAGGAGGATTATGAAGCTGATCTGGAGGTGAGACTTTTCAAAGATTTTATTATGTACTTCTCCAGCCTAGAATGTCTTCACTGTTAAAACATGTTTGTGGTGTTTTATTTGAAATTAGAGTTAATGTAAGGACAGCTTGAAACAAATAGTCTTTGACTGTCCATCTACAAGAGTGTGACACTTGTACTCAGAGTTGAATGTGTTTGTTCCAGAGTCGTGTACAAACACAGAGACGTCCAGGTTCTGCTGCAGCTGTGGGGAAGTTCATGAATGTTATAGCTGATGTTTCAGAAAAAAGGAAGATGTTTGAGAACCAACAAACCACAGAGCACAGATGAACAAAGTAAGTAAACCAACTAAAATTATTTTTAATTTTTTCAAAATGAACTTCCTATTGAAACTGTTATCGTGCTTCTACAGGGTGATGTGGCATTAGGAGACTTTATACCAGATGCCCTCCCTGTTACTGTGTTTAGAGGAAGAAAAGCAGCACATGGTGAGTTTTGTTTCTGCAGATACACTTCTAATGTTCTTGTTCTTCTGTTCTGGTCCATTATTGTAGTAATAATTGCTATAAGTGTATTTAAACATGTACAACAGAGTAGATCATCAGAATGTGATCATCATGTGTGATTCTGTGTCCACAGAGACCAGAGCTTCACTGGAATAAATCTTCACACTGTCCAACTCCAAACTGTGTGTCTCTGTCCCTGTGTGTTTGATTCTGTTTAAGACAAAACAGAACTGTGGAAAACTAAAGACTGTTTTTGTATTCTTTTACAGAATTAGATCAATTAAATTAAATTATACATACTTACATACATACATTTCATGATAAGGTAACATAAGATAAATGTACATATTCAGCATGATTTGTTCAAATTTCATCAACATGAAAAAGTGAAGTTCATGTTCCGAGAAAAATATGTGTAGAGGGTTCGAAAAAAGTTTCAAAGCCCAAACATAATTTTATTGCACGCAACCGCTTTCCATAACTTTTTTACGCAAATCCAGCAACTTTTTTTTTTCAGTGCAGTATTTGTTATTTTCGGCTTTAATTTTCACCTTTTAAAAATGTCCTGCTTTTAGCCTCGTGTGAGAAATACAGTCGGACTAGATCCAAACCAGAGTCCCGAACCAGCAGGAGCAGCTCCGGTTCTGCGGGGAGTGAAAAGCGCTTTTCCCGGGAAGAACCAAATGCGGACACCAACTAAACTGGATTCACGCTTCTGTCCGGATGCTTTGCACCACCTCGGAACCAGCCGCGGTTCTTGAGCGCGGAGGACAGGAGCAGCACAGACCTGTAGTCCACAGCGCATTCTCACTTTCCCCGCACGGAACCAGCGCGCAGACGGCGGAACGTTCCCGCTCAGACCCAGTCATTGCGCATTGGTCTTGCTCGCCACCGTCTGGAACCAGCACATGGAGGACAGAGCCTCCGGACCATCTGACCAACGCGCTTGTAGGACGACCGACCGAGCATGCGCACTAGTGCTCTTTTCTCCCGCGGGCACACGCGAATGCACGCGACCGCACGCACGGTGCGCGGGCTCGTGTGTCATGTGATCGCTTTGACCAATCAGAGCGAGAGGATCTAAAGCTAACGAATATAAACTGTTTTTTTTAAGACAACTGAAGGATTTTGAGCTGAGAAAAAGTTTATGATCTAATAATAGGTAAAAATCGCCAGCAAATCCGATATTTTTGAAAGCTGTAGATGACCTGTCAGACGAACACGAGCAGTTTGTGATTACATTGCCTCTATGAGAAAAATCTTGTCTCAGCCCACGGGACTTTTTCTGCTGAAGTTCCAGTGAGTGACACTACGTCAACTGGAGGCAGCTACAAGCAGCAATACCGTATCCAGTTATTTTAATAGATCCATGGGGTCGCCTCGCTCCCTCTGGTTCCTCCTTCTTTCGGGTCAGGAGGTAACACTTCCGACCAAACACACGTGTTCGTCAGGCGTCACGCTGCCGCTCGAAACATGGCGGACCTCCAGATGAAGCTGCTCCGCAAGAAAATCCAGAAAAGAAACGACAAGAACAAAGAGAGGAAACTGAAGCAGAAGAGCCAGGACCAGGACGGAGACCCGGGTACGTGTGTGTGTCCCGCGGGGTTTCGGGTGTTTCGTGTGTCCGGCGCGTGCGACCTAGCCTCGTTAGCTTCAGCTCTGCCACAAACGTGTCCAAGAAATAGTCAGAAAACTTAATATATCATGATTAAATTGACCAGTCCCGACAAATTTGTCTAAAACTATTAATTTGTCCCAGATTTAAATAAGAAATGTCCCAGGTGTCCCGATTTTTGACCGACCTGATCCCCACTTACAACGGAGTGTAAGGGTCAGATAAAAAAACAAAACAAAAATAAAAAAAAACATGCTGGCGCTACGAGAATAAAGTCATAATTTTACAGGAATAAAGTTATAATACGAGAAAGAAGTCGTAATAAAATCAAAGTCAAAGTTTAAAAATGCGGCAGAAGAAGAACCTTGATTTTCAATATAAAACCAAAAATAAGATTAAAGCCGCAAGCGGCGTCGAACGGCCCTCGCCCGCCGTGCCCGCAAACGCCCTGGCAGCGAACTCCGCGCCTGCAAATGGTGCGCCCCGCCAACACTATACCCTAAACGCCATGCCCGCAAACTCCATGCCTACAAATGGAGAAATTACATAGTGCACCTTTAAATGTTCTTTGCACCCCCTGCTGGCCAAACTTGAAAAATGCCCCTGTCAGTAATATGTTTTTGCTTCTAGTCATTAATAGAATTGAATTCCCAAATTTTGTACAAATCTTATAATGTTGATGTTTCATGTCTATGGTAGGGGGCGCTATAGTGTTCACTTTTTTCATGTTTTATAGTGTATTATATTCAGACTGAGATCACACATTAGTGATTCAAATTTCAGCACAATTGGACTAAGTCTGTGCGAACAGGAGCAAATAATGTCACCTTGAAATTAGGCGAAATTTTTACTGAATTTTGCGGCTTCGCCGCACGTAAACCGTGACACTTATCAACATAAATTAGATAACTTTAGATGTTCCACTTCTCTAGATGATGTACGGTGATTTTCAGCCCTGTGGGTGAAGCGCCTTCAGGAGTTTATTTAAACGCAACGTCAATGAAAATGCGGACTCAAACTTCAATCCAATATGGCCGCCTTCTGGTTTGTCAGGGGGCGTGGCCATCATAAAAATTTTTTGTTTGTCTTCACATGACGAATGAGTGTACCGAATTTCGTGGCTCTACGACAAAGTTGACGTCGGGACGTCTCCCATAGGCGCAATGTATTTTGACTTTTCCAGGTGGCGCTGTGTCGCCAATTTTTAATGCCTGTGAACGAAACCTATATTTTATCGAATTTTTCGCCACTTCTGAATTTTGGGCTAAGTTTGGTGAGTTTTTGAACGTGTTTAGGGGGTCAAATTAGGTTTTAAAGAGCAGAGGAAATAAAAAAAAAAAAATTAAAGCTGCAAGCGGCGTCGAACGGCCCTCGCCTAGCCCACGCCACGCCCGCAATCAACGCGCATCGCAAACGGCGCACCCTGCAAACACCGTGCCTGTAAACGTCGCACTCGCAAACAGAAAAATTACATAGTACGCCTTTAAATGTTCTTTCTGCCCCCTGCTGGCCAACCTTGAAAAATGCCCATGTCAGTAATATATGTTTTTGCTTCTAGTCATTAATAGAATTGAATTCCCAAATTTGGTACAAATCTGAAAATGTTGATGTTTCATGTCTCTGGTAGGGGGCGCTGTCGTGTTTACTTTTCATATGTTTTATAGTGTATTATATTCAGGCTGAGATCATGCATTAGTGATTCTAATTTTAGCACGATCAGACTAAACATGTGCGTGTAATATAATTTTTTACGTTTTTTGGGGGGAGTCTTTGCGCCCCTGCTGGCCAATAGTAAAAAATTCCCCATGTCCATAATATGCTTTTTTTCTTATAGTCATGCATAGAATTTAATTCCCAAATTTGGTGCAGATACGACAATGTTCACATTTCATGTCTATGGTAGGGGGCGCTATAGTGTTCACTTTTCATATGTTTTATAGTGTATTATATTCAGGCTGAGATCATGCATTAGTGATTCAAATTTCACCACGATCGGACTAAGTCTGTGTGAACAGGAGCAAATAATGTCACCTTGAAATTAGTCAAAATTATTATCAAAATTTGTGGCCTCGCCGCACGTAAACCGTGAAAGTTATCAAAATAATTTGGCTAACTTTAGATGTTTGTAACACCTGTGTCAGTAGACACGGTAGTAATAAGGTAATGAGTAGTAAGTAGTATTGTTATGGGCTAGTGATCAGAAGACTAAGGATCGGCTCTAGGAGGGAGTGACAAGAGACTGAATTGTTTTTGGTGATAGGTACCATATATTAAAGTGCAAATAGTAAACAGTAAATAGTGATTTGACATACAACATGAAATACGGACAGTGAATGGCCATTCAATTATTTACAACGTGCAGTTACAGTTCGGTAGCAGCAAATAGCACAATAGGTCATTGGATGCAAAAGTGTATATTTACATATCAAGAGTTCAACGATCAAGAGTTCAACGAAGTTAGAGCAGCATTTGATTACACAAATTATCATGAAAGTCCACAAAAAATCTAATGCCCAGCTCACACACAGTTCGTAAGTACCCACTGGGTTTTGACGGGGTATCCAGAGGGGAGAGTAAAGTGTATAAAGTTCGTGAAAGGGAGTGTAACAGTCAGTGGGCAATAGGCGTGTGGGTGTGTTGGGAGAGTTTGTTGGGCTGCCAAGAACCCCCTACCGGCCCGGCAGGAGAGGTGCGACTCTGCAGTACTTCTGTAGGTTCTGTAGGCTCGAGGCCTGCTCCTTTTAGCTCGCCATCGCCATCGATACGTTAACAATCTGGCCTGGGCAATAGGACCAAGTTTAAATTAATTAGTTTATACTTTACCAGTAAATATTCTTAGTGTGCACACAAACAAATTAAATAGCACTAGCTGTACTATTAGCAGTTCAATACATTGATTCAGACAATAGGAAAATGATACATGAATAAAATAAATGCTTTTACAAAGCTATTTAAAGTTAGGAAGTGCTTAACACAAGTACTCAGACAGCTACAACTATGATTGGATAACACTGTTGGCAAGGGTACTTAAAAATGTATAATTCAGATAAATAAACAAATATGGGTTCATTCAACATAAACTTTACATCATAGGCTTTCAAATAGTCTCATTTTGTTGGTTATATTTGACAGAAACAGGCATAAAGTTCGGCAACCAAAAATGCTAACCGCGACCATAGAAATGAATGGGCGCGGCTAAGCTAGCGTTAGCATCACAAACAAACACTCACCAGTTTCCGCGGACTACGCCATTCAGATGCGCTTTTTGACGCGGGTTTGGACCCGGTAGAGGGCTCCTATGAATGCACAATATAAGCCATGGATTGTCACACGAAATTATAAGTTAAAAGCACGAGGATTACCCCAAACTGACCTGCAGCTCGACTCTCATACAGCCCCCAACAGCACCTAACACGCACTGAATCTCAGCGGCATCATAAGCGCCCGCGATTGGCGCGCAGCGTCACGTGATTGAATGACGTCACCGAGAGCATGATGACGATTGGTCTGGCGGAGATCCCGCGTGAACACGCCAAACACCGCGAGTTTTAACGTCCCATAGTGGGAGATAGGAGACACAGGTGTAGATGGAGAGAGAGAGAGAGAGATGTTTTGACAGGATTTAATCACCTGGGTTACATGTTCCACTTCTCTAGATGATGTACGGTGATTTTCAGCCCTGTGGGTGAAGCGCCCTCAGAGGAGTTTGTTCAAACGCATTTATATATTTTTTGTCTGTCTTCACATGACGAATGTGTGTACCAAATTTTGTGGCTCTACGACAAAGTTGACCAGGACGTCTCCCACAGGTGCCAAATTTTTAAATTTTCCAGGTGGCGCTGTGTCGCCATTTTTTTATGTCCCTGCACGAAACCTATATTTTATCGAATTTTTTGCCACTTCTGAATATGTTGCCAAATTTGGTGAGTTTTTGAACGTGTTTAGGGGGTCAAATTAGAGCTCAAAGAGCAGAATAATAATAATAAAAATAATAATATTTTGAGCAAAAACAATATATCCGAAAATTATGAGAATAAAGTAGTCATTTTATGAGAATAACAGCAGTATCCCAGTAACCCACGCCCAAGGCCTGGCTCATATTTACTACTGCTAAAATGAATGGAAGTCAATGGAAGGCGATGGGTGACCTCGACGAGATGGTGAATGACGAGCGCGTCACTCACCAATGACCCCACGGTGACGTGGGAAAGGTCGAGAGCTTTCAAAAAACTTATAATATGTTGTTCTAATGTTTTCGGATATATTGGCTGCGGTTCAGCATAAAATGAATAAACCAGGACTAATCTTGGGCTCGAGTGCAGGAGAAAGATAGAAACCGAGTCCCGACACTCAGTCCTGGTTCAGTTCTGGTTTAGTCCTGCTTGCAACAAAACAATCTCAAGAGTCGCTTGGGAGCCGAAAGAGCCAGTTGCTTTAGTGAGCCAAAAAAAAACAAAAAACTGGAATACCCATCACTAGCAGTGACAGTAACAGTAGCTAGAATGTGATGCAAAAATGCCATTAGGCCAATCTACTGTCTGTAAATATGATGTAAAGAGTCAAAATAACAATAAATGTTGCCTAAATAAACCCAATTTATAATCCACTAGAGCCAAACCTAAGTTTTTTAATCAATTCAAGATTTACAGTGAATTTTTACATCACTAAATATATCGGCGATTATATCGGCTATCGGCAGCCCCAACTCCCATTATATCGGTTTCATATCGGCCACAACAAAATCTATATCGGTCGGGCTCTAGTATCGAGGTATGAGTAAAATAGATGTTTTTCATTTTACACAAACTTAGTGGACTTTTGTAGACTTTTAGTATCACAGCCAAGATTTGACTGAACTGTCTCGAATCGATTTGAAATATATCGTATCGAATCAAACATGCACTGTATTGAAAAAAAACATATTGTATCGAGGCCTATGTATCGTATCACCAATTTCTTAATGATACCCAGCCAAAATTTTGAATGAATCTGGTGATATGAAACATATCACAATGTGTCTGTCATGATTCAATATATCACGATAGATCCAGATACTAAAACAATGGACGATATATTGCGATTTATCAATAATTATGTTCAATATCATGGTCGAGTACACATTCACAAGACCAAAATTTGTTACTTAAATCATGAAAATAGTATATGGAACTTTTGACTCGCACAATGAAGTATCACGATATATCACTGAATCGATTTTTTTTTTTGTACCTTTTACCCCTACTAGTTTGAGTATCTGGGTGTTAAAAGTCATTTCTTAAACCTGTCTCCTCTTGATTGTGCTGATAACTTCCTACGATCTTGTCCCTTACAGGAAATGGACTCGTGAAAGAGGCTTGTGAAGAGACGTCTGCCCCCACAGAGACGGAAGTCAAACCCAAGGAGGCGCAGCAGCAGACAGAGGGCGCTGTGGAGGAGAGCACTGCGCAGAACACCACAGAGCCTCCAGTGAAGAAGAAGAAAAAGAAGAGGAAGCTGGGAGATGCCGCACCACAGGAGGCGCCAGGTATCATCTCAGGTTTACTGTGAATTAGGCTCTTGTCACGGAAACGCACGGCTCGTTCAGGTTCTGTCAAAAAAGCGGAGCTGCTCTTCCTGCTCCAGTCATTGTGTATTGGGAATTATCCAAGTCATGGTAAATAAATTTTTCGGACTACAAGTCGCACCAGCCAAAAAATGTGGAATGAAGAAGAAAAAAAAACACATATAAGTTGCATTTTTGGGGGGAAATTTATTTAATAAAATGAGAACAGGAGCAAACATTTCCTGTGTAAAGGATCAGTTCCAGTTAGAATTATTCGGGTCTTTCTGAATCCCGACAGGATGGTTTCAGTGTCACTGAAATCCAGGCTTTGTCCATCCGTCCAGTGACTTCAGGAAAGTTTCATGGTTCATCCTCCCGGTGTCACAAGTTTCTCTCTCACTCCAAACTTTCTTTCTGCTGCTCGATTTCCGTTTTCAGCTGCAGATTTCACGACTTGCAGTTTGTAATCTGCAGAATCTGATTTTGTTTTTTTGGGGCTTTTGTGTTCAGTCTTCTCAGTCTTTGTCTTTATAAGTTTAAAGTTTAAATGTTAAATTGTTCAGTGGTGCAGAAGTAACGGTGCGATCGACTGACATGATACAGACAGGACAGAGGCTCTTTCTGCAGGAGACATGCGCAGTAGAGCCAAGTGACAGTGGTACAGGAGGAACAGGAGCAGCAGATACTCACACACAAGACTAGAACCTCTCCACACTTCACCAAAAACATTTTAATATAGAAGTCGCACCGGAGAATAAGTCACAGGAAACACACAAACCATGAAACAAAGTGACACTTAAAGGTTGTATAGAGGATTTTTTAAGGGAAAAAACATACAGCGACACTCCTTTTTGACACCACCTTCCTCCTCCACAGCCTCAGTAGAAACATCTCCTCCTGCCTCTTTACTCTAGAAATCACGCTTGTTTACAGCCAGTGCGCGTTCAGAATTACTGTTGAAGTGACCCGTCTGGAAATAATTTAGCGACCGACACGTCATTTTTTTAGACCTTTCGTCTGCTTCATTCGCGCCGTCGCTGGAAGGAATCTCCAAGAATCACCTCAGTTTGGCTTTGCTCCTTTTCCCCTTCTCTTCTTCTTTCATCGACCTCAAAAACGGACTTTCTTTTGCGGCGAACCGGTCGCGGATTCTCGTCCGACATCGCGAAAAACTGTGCGAATTGCGAGGAAGATACAGTTAGAAAACGCCTCTAAGAACCGCTACATAAACTACATAATCCCCGCGCGCCGGCGAGTCAGTTACACTAGAAACGTAGGAAGTTTGACTGACAACCTAACAGCCAATAGAAAATGAGGTAGCCTGGTTATCTATTGGCTGATGTTTATCTGGCCTCACTACGTCCACAGTTGATCGATTTTCATTCTTTTTTTTTTTTTTGGTCATCATAATTACAAAGCTGCTGTATCTCTGTAATGGTATTTTAAACTTTCACTGACAAATTGAAACAAAAAAAAAAAATCCTCCATACAACCTTTAATAGTCCGAAAAATACGATAATATTGGACCTTCAACCGAGGATTATTCAGTTTTTTTCAGATATTACCACTGTCAATAGAGCTTTTAGTCAGACTGAACAGATGTAAGTTAAAACACCTGATGAAACGTAAAGAGACGTGCTGTGGCTCAGGTGCTTTTTCCTAAACAACGTAATTCCTCATCAGCAAAATAAATTATTTAAGTTTTACTATCCTCAGTATAGATGCTATGCTGTGCTCACCTTCGTTGCAGTAGAGAAATTTCATTCCTTGTTGTCTAAAAAAGCATTTTCTGTTTCAGTGGAGAAGAAAACCAAACCCTCTGAAGGAGACGATGAAGATGATGAAGAAGAAGAGGACGAGGAGGAGGAGGCGGATGGAGAGAAGTCAGGAGCTGAGCGAGGACCTGAGGTGGAGGAGGAGGAGCTGCCCGAGCTTCCATCTGGACTCACAGGTACAAACAGCCCTGAAGGTCAAGACCACACAGGTGATAAAGTTAAAAGTTTGGACACATCCTCTTGTTCAGTGTTTTTATTCTTACCATTTTCTTCATTTCTATATTTCATTTCTATACACACAGAACATCTCAAATATATAAACTAAGGAATTATGTAACAAAGTAAAAAGAAAATTACTCCTACTTGTTGTTTTTTTTTACTACATTATTCCATCTTGCTTCATTTATTTGTGTTTTTCTGTGTGTATCTAAAATATAAAAAGTAGTAAACATAAAAACACGGAATGAGAGTGCTTGTCCAGACTTGTCGTCGGTTGTGTATGTTGAAGATTTACCCAGATTCTGTCCAGTTTAAGATCAGAAATTATTCAAAATGAGAGATTAAATGATGGTTATTAAAGCAGACACTGTGCTGGGGCTGGGTGATCTTTGACTTTGCTTTTGTAGCTTCAGGATGTGTATAAATAATGTCCAAATGTAGATTTTTAAACGTAGAACTGAATGCTGAACTTACCGTATTTTTTGGACTATAAGTGGCTCTGGAGTATAAGTCGCACCAGCCAAAAAATGCGTAATGAAGAAGAAAAAAACATATAAGTCGCATTTTTGGGGGGAAATGTATTTAATAAAATGAGAGATCAGGAGCAGACATTTCCTGTGTAAAGTCAAGTTGTAGTAAAAACAATAGAAGAGAGAACAACAGACTGTTAACGTCACATATTTCACAGTTCTTCAGATAAACTATAACATAAACAACAGAACAGAACAAGTTTAACCAAACTCTCCATCTCACTCCAAATCACTAAATCCATTCAATTCTTCATCCTCGGTGTCACTTCTGAACAACTCGGCCTCGACCTCCGGAGGTAAACAGAGCGACGCAAACTCTTCTGTGTCGCTGTCGTCAGACTCAGCATCAGTTCCAGTTAGAATTATTCGGGTCTTTCTGAATCCCGACAGGATGGTTTCAGGTGTCACTGAAGTCCAGGCTTTGTCCATCCATCCAGTGACTTCAGGAAAGTTTCATGGTTCATCCTCCCAGTGTCACAAGTTTCTCTCTCACTCCAAACTTTCTTTCTGCTGCTCGATTTCCGTTTTCAGCTGCAGATTTCACGACTTGCAGTTTGTAATCTGCAGAACATGATTTTGTTTTTGGGGGCATTTGTGTTCAGTCTTCTCAGTCTTTGTCTTTACAAGTTTAAAGTTTAAATGTTAAATTGTTCAGTGGTGCAGAAGTAACGATGCGATCGACTGACATGATACAGTCAGGACATAGGCTCTTTCTGCAGGAGTCAATGCTTATTAATTCTCATCCATTAAGAATTATTATATAGTTTCTTATTGATGGTTTGATAAATAGGTTACAGTACATGTCAGATATCATAAAATAATACCTGTATTAAAGATTTTACTTCTCAGTTTCAAGTCTTTGAGTGTTAAATGTGTTAATTTCAAATTGCATAATATGTTGTAGGTCCTACATTTGTTATAATTTAGGACCTGTTGCTTATTCAACATCCTTGAAGTCCCAAAGAAATGACGCTTTTACCATATCAAGGAAATTAATGATGACAGAGACATAAATATGATCCGCAACGTCCATATTTATGTTCGACTTCCATTAATACTATAGGGTTAAATTAATTATTTTTGATGTTATAAAAGAAAAACATTTTTTTTCTGCTCAGATTTAATCCTTCAACAGGCACTAAACTTCAGAGGCTTGAGAATTTTCATGAAATATCTCACAGAAGTTTACTTTTGCAAGTGTAAAAAAATGATACTGGGTACAGATACAGTTTTAACGTTTTCATTGGTCTCGTGGTTTGGGAGTATTTCTGCTAAAAACAAGACTGAATCAGTTGGTTAAATGGGCGAGTAGGTGATTGTTCATCCTCAGAGCCGCTGGACTCTCTGTACTCGAGACTCTTACAGACGACGTCCCAGAGGATTTTGGGAGACGTGCAACATCCACTAAACTCAGAGTTTCAGCTGCTTCCCTCTGGTCAGAGGCTTTTAGTCCCAAGATCTAGAACGAATCATTTTAAGAGGAGCTTCGTTCCGGCTGCTATCATACTTATGAATAAATTGTAATCTATTTATCTAAGATTGTGTGTTTTTAACATATCTAAGATTTATTTATTGTGATTTTAGACAAGCGTGTTGGATGTTTTTAATTGGTTGTTTATGGAACAAACCATTCTGCACTGGAGCACTGTAACACTTTATTGTAACACTTTATTGTAACACTTTATTGTGTTTTTATGTGTGTTTTGTGGATGAATGAAGTGTGAAATGTGGAACCTGTCTCTTAAATCTGCAAAGCAAATTTACCTACGGGTACGAATAAAGCGACCGAACCGAACCTAAGATTGATTTTCAAAAAAATTTCAAAAAGCCGTTGATGCACCCCAATGTATATGTACAAGGTAAAATAGAAATAAGTAATTAAAATGACAACGCTACTGGCAGTGTAAAGTAAAGTATGATACACACACGTCCACGTCTTTGACCTGTGATCATGTTCTGTCCCAGGAGCGTTCGAGGACACGTCTTTCTCCTCTCTGTCCGAGCTCGTCAGTGAGAACACGCTCAAAGGAGTCAAGGAGATGGGCTTCGAGCACATGACCGAGATCCAGCACAAAACCATCCGCCCGCTGCTGGAGGGGAGGTGAGTGTGCTCTGCTGTGTGTGTGTGTGTGTGTGGAGGTTTCATCTGAGAGACACGTGTGACCCCTGACCTCTGACCGTGTTGTGTGCAGGGACGTGTTGGCCGCCGCGAGGACGGGCAGCGGGAAAACTCTGGCCTTCCTCATCCCCTCCATCGAGCTCATCTACAAACTCAAGTTCATGCCCAGGAACGGTGAGTCTGCTTTTTTGTGTTCAGTTAAAAGAGAAAATGGTCACTTATAGGACTATCAAAATCTAAAGATGCATCTAAAAATCCCATTGACAGGACAGAAACGAATCTTTCCTCAATCTCTTTAGAATGATCTAGAGCTGTAGCAGAACAACAGGGCTCCCGCTGTATCTTAAAAAGTTTTAAAAGCATTGAATTTATGATTTTGGATATAATACCTTAACTCTTTCCCCCCTGGACGCCTACTAGGAACAACCCATACATATGTTACTAGGGCTACACCCATAGAGCATAACTGCATAAAAGAAAACAGACTTCCACGAGTGATTATAAATGATTTTTACACTCATGAACTTAATTGTAACACAGACATATTTGTATCTCTGGAAACCTCAGACTCTGAACTCTTCATTTCTGGATGTTTAAATGTGATTCAACTCATTTATAGGTTTATAACAGCTCACTGAAAATGAGAGTTTACCTGGTCAGGTGCAAACTCGAAAACAAAAAACTACATTCAGCATCTGATATCTGCATGTTCTGAGTACTATATTCATAAAAAATAAAAAATATACTTTGTCAAAGTATTTAAACAGATTTCATATCACCAGATACAGTAGAGTCAAGTGTACACCTGTTTTTACCTGTTGTTCACCTGTGTGGACCTAATTCATTTTTTTCCATTTAACTTATTCAACTCATTTAACTTATTCAACTTATTTTATTTATTCAACTCATTTAGATTATTCAACAAATTTAGCTTATTATAATATAATAATATAATAATAAAACTCTTCCTCGTCAGTGTGTGTCCAGTATTTGTCATCTTGTTTACTTTCTCGTGTGCAGAGCTCCGCATGAGCGGTCTTTCTGTAGCAGTTCTGTTATACATCGCATCTTGGAAAAAAGACTGAAATATTTTAAAGGACTCACCTGGGCAACATCCAGATTTCAGGGCAAGTTTGGTTCATAATCGAGTATAAAGCTCAGATAGTTTGTTCGGACATCGCAGGACTCCACACAGACGCATCAGCAGGCATTCTCACCTTCTCCCTGAAAGTCCGTCGCTATCGCTGTTTTCCACTTTATAATCAACTTCAACATCATCACTTTGAAATCTATAAAAGTCACTTTCTCTAAACTCATCCATAAAATACGTCCGCTCCTCATTATTTCTAAAACTGTGCGCCGCAGCGCCGCGATCTTTCCATTGCACGTGTTTCGTGTTGTGTTTTTTCCGGAAGCTACCATCATCACTATTTCGATTAACTTCAGAAAAAATCTGCGAAAACATATCCTTGAATCCTATTGGTCAGTCTAGTGTGGGTTGTAGTGGCCCCCACCGATCACAGTCTCTGTTTAAATGTGAAAAACCGAGCCATTTCTAAAGGTCGTCAAATCTCGTCTTTAGTGATACGGCGGAGGAGTCAAAAGTCGTCATTAAGGGTTCAGGGGGGGTCGTCAAATGTCGTCTTCATGGGGGAAAGAGTTAAAAAGACTTGAAGGCTTGAATTTTTATATCTGGGTCTTAAAATTTGTGCCGTATGTAACTTCTCCGTATCACATTTCACTGCCAAAAGTTTAATTTGTGAACTGCTACTGTTTGGTGAAATACCGTCGCCTAAATAAAGAGCGGCGGAACCAATAATTGAGAACGTGAGAGCCCTGAACAGGTGTAAGAGCACATAGTAAACTGAGGAACCTACCTGGACCACTGAGGGATTACACACATATAAAACCACATGGGAATAGAATAAAAGTACTATGATTTACGCTGAAAATCAACAGTATTAAAGAATTACTAATGGTATTACTAATGGTAAATAATTACTGCGGTATCAGAACTGGTATAGAGTATAGGGCCGTCGTGGTTAGGTAATTTCTCCTGTGGTGTGGTTTAGCGGCTCAACAGCGCGGTGTGCGGTGATACCACTCTCCCTTCCAGCGGCTCTGAAAACTCTCCAATGATGCGCTTGTTGCACAGATCAACATGTACCTTGGTTGTCTTGTGGATATAGTGTGTGTAGGGTGTGTGTAGAGTGTGTGTAGTGTGTGTGTAGAGTGTGTGTGTAGAGTGTGTGTGTAGAGTGTGTGTGTGTAGAGTGTGTGTGTGTAGAGTGTGTGTGTAGAGTGTGTGTGTAGTAGAGTGTGTGTGTAGAGTGTGTGTGTAGAGTGTGTGTGTAGAGTGTGTGTGTAGAGTGTGTGTGTGTGTGTGTGTAGAGTGTGTGTGTAGAGTGTGTGTGTAGAGTGTGTGTGTGTAGAGTGTGTGTGTGTGTAGAGTGTGTGTGTAGAGTGTGTGTGTGTGTAGAGTGTGTGTGTGTGTGTAGAGTGTGTGTGTGTAGAGTGTGTGTAGAGTGTGTGTGTGTAGAGTGTGTGTGTGTAGAGTGTGTGTGTGTAGGGTGTGTGTAGTGTGCTGCATCTCTCCAGCTCTCACTGTGGCAATTCGGGCCAGGGTCCGGCACCAGGTCGGGCCAGGGTCGGGCCCCTGCGGACTTAAGAGACAGAGCCCCTAACACGAGCACGCAGCAAAGCGTGATCAGGCGATGGCTGCACTTACGTCTGTGCGGTGCGGAGCTCTGCAGTGGTCCTTTCACCTGCGGTCACCAGACGGTCTACGTGGGCAGACCTTAGTCCTGGGTTAGTTGAGTGTGGGTCTCTAAAAATGGACCTGTGCACTCGTTGGTCACGTGCGGTGATTGCGATGGGCCTCTTAGTTCTGTAGTGATTCATTTTTGTGGTTATTGCGACAGGTCTATTCCTTAGTATTGAAATTTTAGTATGTTGACAACACTAGTGAGCAGTTTGTTCTTGTTGTTTTCTTTTTTTTTTTTGCTTTGAGCCTCACACGTTTTCTGAGCTGCTTCAGTCTTTAAATCTGTCACATTCTCACTGTTGTTGAGCTTACCCTTTTGTCCTTGTCCCGTAGGCACTGGTGTGGTGATCCTGTCCCCCACTCGGGAGTTGGCCATGCAGACGTACGGCGTCATGAAGGAGCTCATGACCCACCACGTGCACACGTACGGCCTCATCATGGGCGGCAGCAACCGCTCGGCCGAGGCGCAGAAACTCGCCAACGGAGTCAACATCCTGGTGGCCACGCCCGGGAGACTGCTGGACCACCTGCAGGTCAGAGACTGAGCACGGACCGAACCAGGACTAAACTAAGACCAAAACAAGGATGAAACCAGAACTGAGACAGGACTACAAAAGGTCTAAACCTGTTTGAATATGGCTCTAGACTAGGGATGTAACGATATCCAAAACTCTCAACATTTTACAACTCTGGACATTTTAAAGTTTTTTTAAATTATTTCTGCTTTCTGGACATAGTGCGCCTTTAAATAACCATGTTTTTGTGACCGTCTGTTTCCAGAACACGCCCGGCTTCATGTTCAAGAACCTTCAGTGTCTGATCATCGACGAGGCCGACCGCATCCTGGAGGTCGGCTTTGAGGAGGAGCTCAAGCAGATCATCAAACTCCTGCCCAGTGCGTACATTGAAATCCTTTCTTTTCTTTAATTAAATCCAGACAAAATACAACATCTAGACGGCACTGATTTAAGAGTGGATTATGTAGACTACTGGTCAAAAGTTTTAGAACACCCACATGCACGTGCAAGTCCAATGAAGAGTTTGAAATGGAACAAAGGTAAGAACTGAACAGGCAGAGGTTAAAAAAAGATAAAAGAACAAAATGCAAGTCCAAGTTCTGCCAAAACGACCTCAGGAAAAAAGAACAAGATGGTAAAACTTGAAAACCTGGAGTGTCCAGACTTAAAACCCATGGAGCTGGTTTGGGATGAACTGGACTGAAGAGTGAAGCAACCTACAAGTGCCACACATTTAGGGAAACTTCTGCGACAGACTCGGGAAGAACTTTCTGAACAATATTTGATTTCTGTTGTAAAAAGAACGAGCCGCGAGTGTGTTCAGCTGTTCTATCTGACAAAGGTCGACACACACGTCAATCAGAAGTTTAGAAAATGTTTTGGTCAACAGGAAACAGGAAAAAACTGGAAAAAGGGTGGCGTTCTAAAACTTTTGACCGGTAGTGTAGCTTTTGTGGTGTCTGTCAGGTGTTTTTATCCGTGGATATATCATTGCTCAGCCAGAAATGTTCCACACTGTGACATTAAACAGCTCTACTTTACATTTATTCAATTACAGGTGGTTTTAGAGCTCAAAAATACCAAGAAAAACAGCATTCTGACTGTGAGCGGGGTTGCCTCTCCACAGATCTGACCTGGTCTCCATGAAAATAGAAAGGAGTTAATCCCATAGTGCATTTGGTGAACCCCCTCACCAGAAAAGTTACACAATGCACCTTTAAAGAGCCATTTTGTATGATTAGAATGTTTAAATTAAATTTTATGCCTAGAAGAATTACTCAGTCGTTGCTGTAACAGACGTGTGACGGACGTGATGTTTTGTTTTTGTGTTCAGAGAAGAGGCAGACGATGCTGTTCTCGGCCACTCAGACTCGCCGCGTGGAGGATCTGGCTCGTATCTCGCTGAAGAAGGAGCCTCTGTACGTGGGCGTGGACGACAACAAGGACAACGCCACAGTGGACGGACTGGAACAGGTGAAACTGCTCACTCTAGTAGCTCCACCAAAGCTCCTCCAAAGCTCCTCTACAGCTTTGTAGGAGCTTCTTCAAAACTCCTCCAAAACTCCTCCAAAGCTCCTCCAAAGCTCCTCCAAAGCTCCTCCAAAACTCCTCCATAGCTCCTCCAAAACTCCTTCAAAACTCCTCCAAAGCTTCTCCAAATCTCTTCCAAAACTCCTCCAAAGCTCCTCCAAAGCTCCTCCAAAACTCCTCCATAGCTCCTCCAAAGCTCCTCCAAAGCTCCTCCAAAGCTCCTCCAAAACTCCTCCATAGGTCCTCCATAGGTCCTCCATGGCTCCTCCAAAGCTCCTCCAAAGCTCCTCCAAAGCTCCTCCAAAGCTCCTCCAAAACTCCTCCAAAACTCCTCCAAAGCTCCTCCAAAACTCCTCCATAGCTCCTCCAAAGCTCCTCCAAAGCTCCTCCAAAGCTCCTCTATAGCTCCTCCAAAACTCCTCCAAAACTCCTCCAAAGCTCCTCCAAAGCTCCTCCAAAACTCCTCCATAGCTCCTCCAAAGCTCCTCCAAAGCTCCTCCAAAGCTCCTCCAAAGCTCCTCCAAAAAAGCTCCTCCAAAGCTCCAAAGCTCCTCCATAAGGCTCCTCCAAAGCTCCTCCAAAGCTCCTCCAAAACTCCTCCAAAACTCCTCCAAAGCTCCTCCAAAGCTCCTCCAAAATTTCTCCATAGCTCCTCCAAAGCTCCTCCAAAGCTCCTCCAAAACTCCTCCAAAGCTCCTCTAAAACTCCTCTATAGCTCCTCCAAAACTCCTCCAAAACTCCTCCAAAACTCCTCCAAAAACTCCTCTATAGCTCCTCCAAAACTCCTCCAAAACTCCTCCAAAGCTCCTCCAAAGCTCCTCCATAGCTCCTAAAAAGCTCCTCCAAAGCTCTTTCATAGCTCCTTCAAAGCTCCTAAAAAGCTCCTCCAAAGCTCTTTCATAGCTCCTTCAAAGCTCCTTCATAGCTCCTTCAAAGCTCTTCAAAGCTCCTTCAAAGCTCCTTCAAAGCTCTTTCAAAGCTCCTTCAAAGCTCCTTCAAAGCTCCTTCAAAGCTCCTTCAAAGCTCTTTCAAAGCTCCTTCAAAGCTCCTTCAAAGCTCTTTCAAAGCTCCTTCAAAGCTCCTTCAAAGCTCCTTCAAAGCTCCTTCAAAGCTCCTTCAAAGCTCTTTCAAAGCTCCTTCAAAGCTCCTTCAAAGCTCCTTCAAAGCTCCTTCAAAGCTCCTTCAAAGCTCCTTCAAAGCTCCTTCAAAGCTCCTTCAAAGCTCCTTCAAAGCTCCTTCAAAGCTCCTTCAAAGCTCTTTCATAACTCCTCCAAAGCTCCACTATAGCTCCACCAGACCTTCACTGTTATTTCACTTTAGCTCCACCATAAAAAGTTGGATCATTGCATCTTTATCCACAACCTTCAAGCTCTTATAATTACATATTGTCATTTCCAAACGTAAAACTTGGTGTTTTTCAATAAATCTACAACATCTTCTTCTTCTTCTTGTTCTATATCGAATGTACCTCTCACAACAGAGTGCGACTAAGGGACAGACTTGCCTTTTTGTGTTGCCCGCTGAGCGTTTCCATCGTGAGGCGGGTGTCAGTAAAGGCAGACAGAAACCATGTGGTGATCTACAGGAGACTGCTCTGGTCTGCTGCTCTGAGAAACTACACGAACAAACACCTACTCCACTTAACTGTTACGATTAACTTTAACTCTTTCCCCCCTGGACGCCGACTAGGAACAACCCATACATATGTTACTAGTTCTACCCATAGAGCATAACTGCATAAAAGAACTGCCACGAGTGATTATAAATGATTTTTACACTCATGAACTTAATTGTAACACAGACATATTTGTATCTCTGGAAACCTTTAGACTCTGAACTCTTCATTTATGGATGTTTAAATGTGATTCAACTCATTTATAGGTGTATAACAGCTCACTGAAAATGAGAGTTTACCTGGTCAGGTGCAAACTCGAAAACAATTCATTCAATACTCAATATTCAGTACATTCAGCATCTGATATCTGCATGTTCTGAGTACTATATTCATAAAAAAATAAAAAATATACTTTGTCAAAGTATTTAAACAGATTTCATATCACCAGATACAGTATAACCAAGTGTACACCTGTTTTTAACTGTTGTTCACCTGTGTGCACCCAATTAATTTTTTTCCATTTACCTTATTCAACTCATTTAGCTTCTTCAACTTATTTTATTTATTCAACTCATTTAGCTTATTATAATATAATAATATATAATATAAAACTCTTCCCCGTCAGTGTGTGTCCAGTATTTGTCATCTTGTTTATTTCTCGTGCACAGAGCTCCGCATAAGCGTTTTTTTCTGTAGTGATTCTGTTATACATCGCATCTTGGAAAAAAAGACTGAAATATTTTAAAGGACTGGCCTGGGCAACATCCAGATTTCAGGGCAATTTTGGTTCATAATCGAGTATAAAGCTCAGATAGTTTGTTGGGACATCGCAGGACTCCACACAGACGCATCAGCGGCATCTCATCTTCTCCCCGAAAGTCCGTCGCTGTCGCTGTTTTCCACTTTATAATCAACTTCAACATCATCACTTTGAAATCTATAAAAGTCACTTTCTCTAAACTTATCCATAAAATACGTCCGCTCCTCATTATTTTTAAAACTGTGCGCCGCAGCGCCGCGATCTTTCCATTGCACGTGTTTCGTGTTGTGTTTTTTTCCGGAAGCTACCATCGTCACTATTTCGATTAACTTCGGAAAAAATCGGCGAAAACATATCCTTGAATCCTATTGGTCAGTCTAGTGTGGGTTGTAGTGGTCCCGACTCAGTTAAATGTGACCGAGTCTCTGTCAAATCTCGTCTTTAGTGATACGGCGGAGGAGTCAAAAGTCGTCATTAAGGGTTCAGTGGGGGTCGTCAAATGTCGTCTTCATGGGGGAAAGAGTTAAGACTTTTTTCATATAAAGTGGAAGTTTCTGACTCTGTCTCTGTCCCGTGTCTCAGGGCTACGTGGTGTGTCCCTCAGAGAAGCGCTTCCTGCTCCTCTTCACGTTCCTGAAGAAGAACCGAAAGAAGAAGCTGATGGTGTTCTTCTCCTCCTGCATGTCCGTCAAGTTCCACTACGAGCTCCTCAACTACATCGACCTGCCCGTCATGGCCATCCACGTGAGGCTCTCTATGCAAAACAGACAAAAGACACGGTTCCTCGGTGATTGTTCCGTACGTGTGGCCCTGACCTTTGTGCTGTGCCGTTTCAGGGGAAGCAGAAGCAGACCAAGCGCACCACCACCTTCTTCCAGTTCTGTAACGCAGACTCTGGGATCCTGCTGTGCACAGATGTGGCAGCTCGAGGCCTGGACATCCCCGAGGTCGACTGGATCGTCCAGTACGACCCCCCCGATGATCCCAAGGTCCGGTCTGATACTTGAAATACAGTAGCCTATGTATCCATGTTCTGCTTTCACTTTCTGTTTTAGGTGTATATTCAGACTATAAGACGCACTTAGAATCCTTTAATTTTCTCAAAAATGTTCTCAACAGAATTTTCAGGCCTGCAAAGAACTGTAGTCTTCATCTGCGATATTTTGTCTTAAGCTCTGTCAAACACAGAGAAGCAGAAAGGAATTATCTAAAACTGTGCATGACATTAAACCACATACGCAAGTTTAGTCTTCTTAAAATGTTTTTTATTAATGCCAAATAAAATATCCAACACAAATTATGCATGACAGGCAAACACGAATCAGGGACAGGGAGGAAACGCCGGGCGACTGACACCGCGATCTGCTGACGGATCGTGGACGCCCGGACTCAGGATCAGATCAAGTGTCGTCCGTTTGTGTCGCTTAATGCTCCTTATAATCCAGCGCAACTTATAGTCTGAAAAATATGAATAAATGTGAAATAGCAGTACTGTTTTCTGGCACATTCCCGTGTGTCCTGACAGAGCTGTGTGTGTGTGTGTGTGTGTGTGTGTGTGTGTGTGTGTGTGTGTGTGTGTCTGTGTGTGTGTGTGTGTGTGTGTGTGTGTGTGTGTGTGTGTGTGTGTGTGTGTGACAGGAGTACATCCACAGAGTCGGCAGAACTGCTCGAGGGATCAACGGCCGAGGCCACGCCCTCCTCATCCTGCGCCCGGAGGAGCTCGGGTTCCTGCGCTTCCTCAAGCAGGCCAAGGTAACACACACACACACATGACACACACACACACACTCACAACACACACACACACACAACACACACACACACACACACACACACACACACACACACACACACACAGGAACAACACACACAACACACAACACACACACACAGGCCAAGGTAACACACACACTCACAACACACACACAGGCCAAGGTAACACACACACACACACACACACACACACAGGCCAGGTACACACACACACAGGCACACACACACACACACACACACACACACACAGGCCAAGGTAACACACACACACAGGAACACACACACACACTCACAACACACACACACACAGGCACACACAGGTAACACACACACACACAACACACACACACAGGCCAAGGTAACACACACACACAACACACACACACACACAGGCCAAGGTAACACACACACACACACACACACACACACACAGGCCAAGGTAACACACACACACAACACACACACACACACACACACAACACACACACACACACACACAGGCCAAGGTAACACACACACACAGGAACATACACACACACACACACAGGCCAAGGTAACACACACACACTCACAACACACACACACACACAGGCCAAGGTAACACACACACACACAACACACACACACACAGGCAAGGTAACACACACACACACACACACACACAGGCCAAGGTAACACACACACACTCACAACACACACACAGGCCAAGGTAACACACACACACTCACAACACACACACACACACAGGAACACACACACACTCACAACACACACACACACACACACCAAGGTAACACACACACACTCACAACACACACACACACAGGCCAAGGTAACACACACACACACACATCACAACACACACACACACAGGCCAAGGTAACACACACACACAACACACACACACACACAGGCAAGGTAACACACACACACACTCACAACACACACACACTCACACACACACACACACAGGCAAAGGTAACACACACACACTCACAACACACACACACAGGCCAAGGTAACACACACACACACACACACACACACACACACAGGCCAAGGTAACACACACACACAGGAACACACTCCACACACACACACACAGGCCAAGGTAACACACACACACAGGAACACACACAACACACACAGGCCAAGGTAACACACACACACAGGAACACACTCACAACACACACAGGCCAAGGTAACACACACACACACAGGAACACACTCACAACACACACAGGCCAAGGTAACACTTCACATCAGAGTCCTGCACGGGTCCGTTTCTGGAGACCCACACCCTCCCGTTAACTTGTGATTATATCAAAGTTAAATCCTCACCTGCCCTGACACGTTTACATTCCACCTGATACCCGTCAGTGACCGTGATAAACCGGAGTGAGGACATTAGTCCAATAGACCAGGACTGGACCAGGACTGGACCAGGACTGGACCAGGACTGGACCAGGACTGGACCAGGACTGGACCAGGACTGGACCAGGACTGGACCAGGACTGGACCAGGACTGGACCAGTGTCATTAGCATAAATATACACATGCCGCAACCTCCGAGCCGATCGCCAGGACTATACCAGGACTGGACCAGATCTGAGTCAGGTCTAAATCAGGTCTAAATCAGGACTCAGCCAGGACTCAGCCAGGACTAAAACAGTCCTGAGTGTCGGAACAAGCCCAGAGGTGCACCCGCGTAGACTGTAGGGTGATGAGGAATGAGACCGAAACTGAGATCCGGGACCAGCCCAGGATACGACCGGGACCTGAGACCTGAGACCGGGACCTGAGACCGGGACCTGAGACCGGGACCTGAGACCGGGACCTGAGACCGGGACCCGAGACCGGGATGAGACCGGGACCCGGGACCTGAGACCGGGACCGGGACCTGAGACCGGGACCGGGACCTGAGACCGGGACCTGAGACCGGGACCTGAGACCGGGACCTGAGACCGGGACCCGAGACCGGGACCTGAGACCGGGACCGGAGACCGGGACCTGAGACCGGGACCCGAGACCGGGACCTGAGCCCGGGACCTGAGCCAATCTCTTCCACTGATGTTTTTCTGAAATAAAAACACTAAAGTCTCTCTCAGTCTGGTCCATCTTTCCGGGAAAACACGGAAAATGTCACTTGTTTCCAGGGCAACGGACGACCTGGACACACGTCACGTATTTTTTTTTCTCCCGTTTGTTGTTCATTTGATTCCCCTGACCCGCCCGTGTGTGATCACTACTCGCTCGTAAAATTCCAGAACATTAAAACTAGGGGTGTTCAAAAATATCAGAATATCAATATATCGTATTGTTTAATGTGATGATACAGTATTGATATCATGGGCCACTGTATCGATATTTCACCAAGAGTATTTTTACGTGTGTTTTACTAAATTATTTTGTTACAGCTACAGTTTTGTTGCTTGTGGAGTGAAAGGAAACTCATTTATGCGACACGTTTGACATTTTTACTGTTTTGATGATTAAAATGTTTGTGTTTCATATGAACTTTGCACAAGAAGTGATTTAACAAAGACTTGTAGTATCACAGACATGATTTAGCCTTTATTTTTTATTGAACTGTATCGAATCGTTTTGAAATATATCGAATTGAAAGCTCTATGTATCGAATCGTGGCCTGTGTATCGAGATATGTATCGTATCGGCAACTTCTTAATGATCCTCAGCCCTAATTAAAACCCACTGTTTGCTTGTACCTGACCTGGTGCAGGACTCTGATTCAAATCTGCAAATTCTTTTCTGTAACTATGATTGGATTTATTATAATTAAACATTATAATCAGTATAAAAACTACATTTTAGGCCCAGTCCAAACGTGTGATGTTTAAATTCACTCTTGCCTCTTTTCGTCTTGTCCAGGTGCCGCTGAGTGAGTTTGAGTTTTCCTGGAGTAAGATCTCAGACATCCAGTCTCAGGTGACGTCTCAGTCCTCTCGTGTTTCTCTCTTGTGCTCTTCAGTTTCTGTGACGTTTACCATTTTCCTTTCTGACGTCCTGCAGTTGGAGAAGCTCATAGAGAAGAACTACTACCTGCACAAATCTGCCCAGGAGGCCTACAAGTCGTACGTCCGGGCCTACGACTCCCACTCGCTCAAGCAGATCTACAGCGTCAACACCCTCAACCTCCCCATGGTGGCGCTGTCCTTCGGCTTCAAAGTGCCCCCGTACGTCGACCTCAGTATCCTTCCACTCTTATTTTTACTGATTTTACTCAAACATATTCGGTACGATCTTTTAGTTCTTTTTTTTTTTTCTTTTTTTTTTGCTCTGGTCGAGTCTTTGGGAACTTGGGGAACATTGATCGCTGTTGTGCGAGTTACTTCAAAACTGATGTGTTTTTTTATGACTCGTTTCTGTCATTTCAAAGTAATTTGTGACATTTACAATATTACTGCGTTTAAACACGACTGTTACAGCACTTTAAGTTACTCTCCCCAAAATAACTGTGCGAAGATGCCGAACTTTTGCGCCGTATATGGACTGAACCAGGACTGAACCAGGACTAAACCAGGACTAAACCAGGTCGGAACCAGGAATAAACCGGGACTAAACTAGAGCTGAACCAGGACTAAACCTGGACTGAGCTGGGACTGGACCGGGACTGAACCAGGTCAGAACCAGGTCTAAAGCAGGTCTAAAGCAGGTCTAAACTAGAGCTGAACCAGGACTGAACCAGGACTAAACCAGGACTGAGCTGGGACTGGACCGGACTGAACCAGGTCAGAACCAGGTCTAAAGCAGGTCTAAACTAGAGCTGAACCAGGACTGAACCAGGACTAAACCAGGACTGAGCCAGGTCTCAAGCTGGTCTTAAAGCTGGTCTAAACTAGAGCTGAACCAGGACTGAACCAGGTCTAAACTAAGTCTAAACTAGGACTAAACCAGGACTAAGCCACATCTAAACCAGGTCTAAACTAGGACTAATCTTGGACTAGAGCTTGGACTCCAGTTCCACCCTGAGTGAGCCCTGATCCCGTGGAGCAGTGTTTCCTCAAAGCTCGATCAGGCGTCAGCTGCGGTTCACCCGTCGAGTGTTGAGTTCTGTCCTTTCGCCCGCGGTCACTCGACGGTCTACGCGGACGCATCTCCGGCGTTTCACCGCTGCTGTTATCGCGATGATTTTAGCGAATTTGTTTGAAGAAAAACAAAAAAACCACCACTTCAATCCAGGTTAAAGAAGCATTGTGACGCATGTTACTCACATTTTTACAGAGTAAAATAATAAAACTTTTTTTTTCCCTGTAAGTAAGACTTTAGTAAGTCTTTATTTGCCACATTACTGCTTTACAGCAAAAAGCAACTCGTTACTCCCAACATTGACCTGGACTGATCTTTCAAAGTTATTTTTTATCTGATTTCTGGACTTTTCCCATCATTTAGACCCTGTGTGTAACTTTTAACCAAAAAAAAAAGTCTTTTCATTTGGGAAGTTTTTATTGCATTAAAAATAGGTGTTTCCTTCTCTGAGCGAGCTTGCATTTCCACAGACCTGACTCTTATTTGGACTGGAGGAGAGCCTCATCTCACTTGTCTTCATGGAAACGTTGCACCTTTAGCTGTAATATTACACAGCACTGCAACGTACGTCTCCAGAATGTTCCGAACTATGGTTTTAAGTTTTTATTCTCGTCATCGTGAAGTTGACAGGTCGCCTCCCAGAAAGTTACCAGGTGTTGCTTTAAATGACACAGAAACCTGAAAAACTGAGGATCTGAAGTCATTAAGATGCAAGAAATCAGATAACTCCAGAGATCAGTTTTCCAACACAGACAGAAAGCTTTAAGTCTGAAAAAAATACAAACTGGATTCAAATAGCACATTTTCACTAGCTGGAGGTTCATGATCCTGTTTGGTCTAAGAGTTTGATTTTCTATAAAAAAAAGACGAGAGTGATCACTTCATCAGCAAAGTATCTCAAAGTATCTCCTTAAGCTCTCAAATATTATTTTAGGTCGTACTTGTTGTTAAAATAACCACTGCATTTGATGAACACGAGTCTAACCCCTGACTGGCTGACCGACCGGGCCTCGATCTCGCCGTCGTCGTCGTTGTTGTCGTTGTTGTTGTCCTCCTTGACTTGTCGCCCTCTCAGACGTTCACAGCGGAAAAGGCGCCAAGCTGCAGAAGCGCGGAGGAGGCGGCGGCTTCGGGTACCAGAAGTCCAAGAACATCCACAAGGCCAAGATCTTCAAACACGTCAACAAAGGCAAGAGGGACCAGAGACAGTTCTCCCGCTAGGACCTTCCTCCCTCCTCCCCGTCTCCTCCTGGACTCCTGTCTCCTTCCTGGACTCCTGTCTCCTCCTGGACTTATTTTAGACCTTTTTGACATATTCAGGGGGCAAAAGGGTCTGTTGTCCCGGTTTTTACGCACATTATTCAAAACCATCTTAAATGTTCCCTCATCGAAAACTTACCTGGAGTTGTATTTAGTTTCATTCACGCTTGTTTCATTCATCCAAAGTTGGACCCTCTTGTTATCGGGAGTGTGCTTTGCCATGAGTCCGATGATACGATACATGTGATATGCATGTCATGATTTGATATATTCCGATGTATCTCGATACTGAAACGTAAGACGATATATATTGTGATTTAACAATAAATACTTCTGTTAATACAGTCGACTGCATCTTCAAAAGAAAATAAGTGTATGAAAAGTCAATCTATCTAATGAATTTTTGAGAAAAATATTATTTTAAAAAATTGATTTGGATGCATTTTGAATCGATTTGAGAATTGTGCAATGAAGTAGCACAATATATTATCCATCCATCTTCTTTTTTTTTATTTTTATTTTTTTATTACATAGACACACATATATACACATACACATATGTAAGCATCTACATACATACATTCCTATCAACATATACCTACATATACGTACATATATATACACATTAACACATCCACATATACACATATATACAGCCACATCTCCACACATATACATATACATATATATATATATACACACACACACGCGTACACATATACATACACACATACGTAAGCACACACACACACATCTATACACCTATACATACATAATATTTACACTCTTAATAATATAATGTTCTTCTAAACAGTTAGATGGAATGTCAAAAATGAATCAGTTAGTCACAATACCTTTTCTTAAGAATACATGTGTATATGTATGTATGTATAAACATACACTTAACTAAACTTTTGTCTCTCATAAATTTGCCCTTTAATACTGACAATTTTGACATTCCAAACCACTCCAGGGCAGCAAACATCTTATATGAGCAGGTGGTCTGTACGTGTACATTATACATTCAAATTAATAACATTCAATGATATTTAATATTTAAATATACACATACTGAAGGAATACCAATGATAATTTACCAAGTGTGGTACTGTCCTTCTTAAAAGGTTTCCAGGCTTGCCAATATGGGATACCAAAGTTCTTGAAAAATGTGTCCATAATTTTTTTCGAGAGTTAGTTTTTCCAAAGGTAGAAATTCTGACAATTGACTCGTAAATAGCCTAAATGTAGGAGGTAAATCATCTTTCCAGAGTAGTAATATACATTTCTTTGCAAAATATGTTATAGTAATCAGTATTCTACATTTATTTTTATCTAAGTGAAGTTGTTGTGTGTCATTTAACAGATATATATTTGGCTGAATATCAAAAGTTTTTTCCAAGGCCGTTTGTGTAAAGGAGTGAATGATATTCCAGTAATTTTTTAAAAGATTACAATCCCAAAACATGTGTATATATGTTCCATCCTTTACTTTGCAACGGGGACATTTTGTAGAAATATCTTTTGATATTTTATTCATTTTCACAGGTGTAAGATAATATTTATGTATAAATTTAAAATTTGCTTCTTTAATTTTATTACTGGTGAATGGAAAATATATATTTTCACACATTATTGACCAAGTGTTATCTTCTAAAGTTAATTTCAAATCCTTCTCCCATGTCTTCTTTAATCTCTGGAATGATGATTGACCTTCGTTTGAAATAATATTGTAAAATTTACTTATATTCCCCTTTATTGTCTCTGCTATTAGCAACTGATCTTCAATTTCTTTTAATTCAGTGCGAATCTTCTTTGTTTTTATAAGTGAATGGACAAAACTTCGGACTTGTAAGTATTTAAAGAAATCTTTATTAGATATACCATATTCTGTCCTTAAACTAATGAATGATTTAATTTCCATATCTTCCTTGAACAGATCCTTAAATTGTTTTATACCATAGTTTGTCCATTCATTTATATTATTCAATATTTTATGGTTGTTTAAGTCTGGATTTAAATAAATAGGGGAATGTATGGTGCACTTAGTAATATCAAATTTCATTCTACAGTCTTTCCATGCTTGTAGTGTATTAATAATACAGTAATTCATCTGTATGCTTTTTATCTTTTGAAATTGATGTGTGAAAATAAAAGAGCTTAAGGCTAGTGGTTTAGTAGTTTCACATTCAATTTCTGTCCACTTAGAGTCATGTCTTTCTAAAACCCATGAAATCAAATTTCTTATCTGAGCAGACCAGAAGTAGAATTGAAAGTTGGGTAAATTTAAACCTCCCATTGATTCTGGTTTCATCAATGTAACCAAACTTATTCTGGGCTTTTTATTACTCCAAATAAAGTTTGTAAGATGTCTATTCAATGACTTAAAAAAATCCAATGATAAATAACAGGGTAACATCTGGAAAAGAAAATTAAACCACGGAAGAATATTCATTCTGATAACATTTATCCGTCCTAGTAAAGAGAGTGGGAATGAGCTCCATTTTACCAAGTCTGATTTGACACTTTGTAACAGTGGCATATAGTTGCTTTGTACAGATCATTTAGGTTTGGAGTAATAAAAATGCCTAGATAATTAAAACCATTAGGAGTCCAGTTAAATTTACATGATGTTTGCATTTTTTCTGATGGTGTCATGTGTAAGAGAGTAGCATTAGATTTTGTGTAATTTACCTTATATCCTGAGTATATTCCAAATGTGTTTATTGTTTTCTGTAACTCTAGAATGGATTCTTCTGGATTGGTTATATATAAAAGAATATCATCAGCATATAAGGATATTTTATGTTCATTTCCATTAATTTTTAAACCTTGGATATTATGATTACTTCGTACACATGATGCCAATGGTTCAATTACTATTGCGAATAATAATGGAGATAATGGGCATCCCTGCCTTGTCCCTCGACTTAGCGAGAAATAGTCAGAGCGGAATCCATTAGTTATAACCGCTGCTTGTGGATCGATATAAATCATTTTCACCCACTCAATAAATTCAGAACCTAAGTTAAATTTTTGTAACACCGAGAATAAAAAATTCCATTCAACTCTGTCAAAAGCCTTCTCTGCATCTAATGACAGAATCAGAGAAGGCTCCTGGTTATTGCTGAAACAATTGATCACATTCAAAACTCTCCTTATAATATCAGCTGCATAACGGCCCTTTATGAACCCCGACTGATCTGCTTTGATCATCTTCTTCTTATCCGGGGCCGGGTCACAGGGGCAGCAGTCTAAGAAGGGACTGCCAGACTTCCTTCACCCCAGACACTTCTCCAGCTCCTCCGAGGGACCCTGAGGCTTTCCCAGGCCAGTCGAGAGACATAGTCCCTCCAGTGTGTCCTGGGTCTTCTCCTGGTGGGACACCACCTGAGGAAGACGTCCAGGAGACATCAGAACAGACGTCCTCCCTCAGCTGCTCCTCTCCACATGGAGGAGCAGCGGCTCTACTCCAAGCTCCTCACTCTGTCTCTAAGAGAGACGCCCAGACGCCCTGCGGAGGAAACTCATCTGCTGCTTGTATCATCGATCTGGTCCTTTGGGTCATGACCAGAGCTCATGACCAGAGGTGAGGGGAGGAACAAAGACTGAAGGTAAATCTAGAGCTTCACCTTTTGACTCAGCTCCTCTTCATGACAGCGGTTCCGATGTGTCCGTGAAAAAAGATATCAGAGTCGATATTTGCTATGAATTATATTAGAGGGGGGCCCATGTGAGGTTCTTTACCCAGAAAGAGAAACGAGACGCAGCATTTGTTTTCTTTCTCATTGTTCATTCTTGTTTCTGACAGCAGAGGGAGCTTCACTGGAAACGAGTGTCGCTTATGTTTAGGCAGTGTTGGGGAGTAACAGATTACATGTACCAGAGTTATGTAATCAGAGTACAAATGATGAGTAACTGTATTCAGTTAGTTACTATTTCAGTGAGTGGTAATTAGATTACAGTTACTTTGTTGAAATAAATGGATTACACGGCGGTATTTTCCTGTTTTCACATTTTGGGCTGAACCAGAACTAAAACCAGAACTAAAACCAGAACCTTAACCAGGACTAAAACAACTAAAACCAGGACTGAAACAGAACTAAAACCAGGACTAAAACAGAACTAAAAAGACTAAAACAGAACTAAAACCAGGACTAAACTAAACCAGGACTAAAACAGACTAAAACAGACTAAAACAGAACTAAAACCAGGACTAAAACAGAAACTAAACCAGGACTGAAACAGAACTAAAACCAGGACTAAAACCAGGACTGAAACAGAACTAAAACCAGGACTAAAACAGAACTAAAACCAGGACTAAAACAAACTAAAACAGGACTAAACTAAAACCAGGACTGAAACAGAACTAAAACCAGGACTAAAACAACTAAAACCAGGACTGAAACAGAACTAAAACCAGGACTGAAACAGAACTAAAACCAAGACTAAAAGCACAACTAAAACCAGGACTGAAACAGAACTAAAACCAGGACTAAACCAGGACTAAACCAGGACTAAACCTGGACTAAACCAGGACTAAACTAATACAATATGACACTAACAGTAGGGTGAACATAATTTTGATCTCATATAAAAATCATTTCTCTATCAATATTTTTAATCGGTCAAGTAAAGACTGAAAAAACATGAATTTTCAGGATGTGGTCCACTTCATTCATGTAGATTTAAAAAACATCAAGTAATCCAAAGTATTCAGATTACATTACTCACTTTAAGTAATTTAATGGATTCTGTTACAAACTACATTTTGGGATATGTAATCTGTAATCTATAGGGGAATACATTTTAAAAGTAAACTTCCCAACACTGTGTTTAGGTTAGGTTTTTCACATTATTTTAAGTTAGAAAATATTAAATTCTTATCCTAAAGCGACCAGAAGCATGTTAAAAAGTGAACTCAAAGCCACTATGTCTTTTATACTCAAGATTCTTAACAAAACGCCGCGAAATCCGAAGAAATAATCCACCAAAACGTGTGAATATAAGAGGAATTTTAATGGCTTTACGGTCTTCGCGACTCTCGCCAAAAACACACAGGATCAGTTCAGTCATTCATCATTTACACAAAGCACAGGGACGGTTCGACTTAAATTACAGTCGGCTGGATCAGATCAACTTCTATTTACAACGACAACAATTTTTCAAAATAAAAGATTACAGTCGATTTGCTGTAAACATTTCCTGCTACAAAATTCCCTTAATTTCCCCTTGGAGAAACGGTATGTTTATTTTTATTATTATTTTATTGTTATTTTATTTAACGTTGTGGGAGATTGGAGCAGACGATTCTCATTTCCGTCTGCAGTCTGTGGGCAGGTGAGTGTGTTAGTGATGCAGTCCCTCAGCATGTGGGTGTTTTAAGTACTCGCGTTACTTAAACCCGAGTGGATTTATTTATTTTTTTACTTTTTATTTACTTGTAATGGGTATAATTTGAGCCATGTAATTATTATTATTACATTAAAGGTCCTGTGTGACTCTTGTGAGCTTAAAGAAATGTTATAATGCTGTATTCTCCTCAAAAACAGAGCTGGATTTGTGTTTTGTTTCATTTACACTTGTTTGAGTAATTCTTTATTAGTCTGTTTACATCTACAAAGCTCAGGCTGCTCTGTTCCACCTTGTGATGTCATGAAGCGATAAGTTTTCAAAAGCTCATTTTACTTTTTGTTCAGTAGAGATTTGAAATTCCAGGGCTGAAATCATCCATATCAGGAGTTTTCAATGTGAGTCTCCCCTTAGAGTTGGTAAAGACAGAAGTAAATGCATCTTTTGTGTTCCTGCAATGATGAGTTTCAATAACAACTGATCATTTTTTTGTATTGTTGTTTCATTTTTATTTTTTTTTTAATTACATCCTTAAACTTTTTTAAAATTCTAATATTTTCGCAACAGTAAAATGCAACTTTTAACATCACTGAACATCAGTACGAAACAAGGACTAAACCAGGTAAACCAGGTCCAAACCAGGTCTAAACCAGGTCCAAACCAGGTCCAAACCAGGTCCAAACCAGGTCCAAACCAGGACTAAACCAGGTCTAAACCAGGTCCAAACCAGGTCCAAACCAGGACTAAACCAGGTCTAAACCAGGTCCAAACCAGGTCCAAACCAGGACTAAACCAGGTCCAAACCAGGACTAAACCAGGTCCAAACCAGGACTAAACCAGGTCCAAACCAGGTCCAAACCAGGACTAAACCAGGACTAAACCAGGACTAAACCAGGTCCAAACCAGGTCCAAACCAGGTCCAAACCAGGACTAAACCAGGACTAAACCAGGTCCAAACCAGGACTAAACAAGAACTAAACCAGGTCCAAACCAGGACTAAACCAGGTCCAAACCAGGACTAAACAAGAACTAAACCAGGTCCAAACCAGGACTAAACCAGGTCAAAACCAGGTCCAAACCAGGACTAAACCAGGTCCAAACCAGTAAACCAGGTCCAAACCAGGACTAAACAAGAACTAAACCAGGTCTAAATCAGGTCCAAACCAGGACTGTGTTGGTCATTTCTCCTGCGGTCACCCGATGGTCTACACAGGCGCACCTCCAGACTCGTCCCAACACTCGGTCCTGGTTCAGTCCTGGTTCAGTCCTGGTTCAGTCCTGGTTCAGTCCTGGTTCAGTCCTGGTTCAGTCCTGGTGTCGTGCCTCCCCAGTGACTCTTTGGCGCCCCCTATGGCAGCATCTGATCCAAATAATACTGAAGGTGTGTGGAGTTTTAAACCCCAGTCAAGCACTTCCTCACATCACCACATGACATCACCAGGTGGAACAGAGTGTTTTCAGTTTGAGAGAAGAACTCAGCCTAAATAAATCTGTAGGGTTTGTTTGTGTGTTAAACATGTGACCGAAACAAAACACAACTCCAGGTCTGTTTGTGACGAGGAAACGACATTATTAGATCAGAAAATAGTGTCATATGAGCTTTTTAAAATCCTGATCTAAAAATACTAAAATTCAGACAAAAAACTAGTACTTTGAGTAGAATTTCCATATGTACTTTTACCCTAAGTACAAATTTGGCAGCTGTACTTGAGTATACATTTTATCTGTGTGTTGAAATCTGAAAATTGTGTTGTTTTTTTTGTTTTTGTTCATTTTAAAATAAAAAAATCACAGACAAAATTATACAAAAAAAAAATCGTCAGGATTCGAATAAATAGTCAAAACTTACAAAATTACGTCCAGTGTCCATCATAAAGAAAACAATTGTGCTCCTTTCAGTATTTCATTTGGAAACAAGATTACAATCATTCGTATTTGGTAGAAAAGTGACACAGTATTGCTTTAGTTGAAGATAAAAAAAAAAAAAAAGGCAGACTGGGTTTAATGCTTGATATTATGTGGTATTTTCCTGGCTGTGCGATGTGTAGTTGAACATATCCAGTTCTCTGATCGTTAAAGGTGCACTGTGGAACTTTTCTGGTAGAGGGTCCGTCGTCTGCTTGTTCTTTTTTAATGGATACGTCATTGCTCTGCCTGGAATGTTCCGCAGTGTGACATTAAACAGCTCTACTTTACAAATTTGATTCGGATTTTCATGTTTGTTTTCCCAGTGGGATGAGTCTAATGTCAAAGTTTTCAAGTCTTTTGAACCATTTCACTTTTGTTTCTGGTTCTGATGTTGTCATATTTTAGTTTTGGGATTCGGACGTCGTTAATTGTTGTGGTTGTTGGATCCAAACAGCGGAAAACGGGTCGAGAAATGTGTTTGCGAACTCCGTAAATGCAAAAGTGAATCAGATGTGTGTGACTCAAACCTTCGTTCAAACTGTTTCTCTTCCCAACGGAATTGAAAAATTGTGAAAGGTGAAGGTGATGGGCAGGATTAATCCACAGGAAGAACCAGAAAGGAAACATTTGTCTGACTAAATCATCCCGAGTTTGCAGAGAACATTTTGTACGTGGAGCGACGACAAAACAAAATCCCCTGAGATTCATTTGGTCTTCCGATATTTTATGTTATTAGGTTCTTTTTTTCAGACCAAGAGCATCACGTGACCACTCTGAGGAAGAGCGCTAGTGAGCAGTCGAAACTGTCAGGTATGAAAACAAACTCTCGGTCTGAAAAAAGAACCTGATAACATAAAGCAAAATCCCGTTTGTTAATGGAGAGGAGCAGAAGACAAACAGACTGAGCTGCACTTTCTTGTTCTTGTGGTTTTACAGAAACATCACGTCTTGGTCTCTTTGCAGTGGAAGGTGTTTCTTGGTGAACAGTTGGAGCCTTTCACTTTGGCGTTGACTTTTTAAATTCGTAACCGAGGTTGAGCGAGGGATCGAGGATTTTATTTTGTCGTCGCTCCACGTACAAAATGTTCTCTGCAAACTCAGCATGATTTAGTCAGACAAATGTTTCCTTTTTGGTTCTTCCTGTGGATCAATTCTGCCCATCACCTTCACCTTTCACTATTTTTCAATTCCGCTGGGAAGAGAAACGGTTTGAACGGAGGTTTGAGTCACACACATCTGATTCACTTTTGCATTTATGGAGTTCGCAAACTTCCAAAGCCCGTTTCTCGAGCCGTTTTCTGCTGTTAAAGGCCGTTCACACCAGAGCGTCAACCGTCCAGTTTCTGTGTAAAGTCTATGTAGACGCGCGACTAGGGCATCCTGCGTTTTTGCGTCTTGAGCGTCAGCGTCAGAAGTTGAAAATGCTGAACATTTTGCGTCAGATGCGCCGCGTCAACCAATCAGGGACGAGTATCCAGTGACGCAGCGACGTTATTATCAGGAAGAAAAACCAGAGAACCAGAGTGAGAGACACAAACATGAGCGGAGAATAAATATATACACCACAATCACCGAGACGATCGCGAGGACTACACCAGAACTAAACCAGGACTAGACCGGGAGTAGACCGAGACTAAACCAGGACTAGACCGGAACTAAACCAGGACTGATCCAGTGTCATTAGCGGAGTATAAATATAAATACGCCACAGTCGTCGACCCGATCTCCACTGATGGTTTTACGTTATAAAAACACTAAAGTCTCTCTCAGTCTGGTCTGACATTGTTTCAGGAAAAGAGAGAGACCGGCCTCTTGTTTCCAGGGCAACGGACGTGCATCAAGTATTTTTCTCCCGTTCGTCCACGGTGTCAAAAACGCGCGTCTGGGGCGTCTAAACTCAAATGCAAAGGCGTCCAAATAGAGGCGTCAAGGCGTTTTTTGACGCTTCGGTGTGAACGGCCCTTTAAGATCCAACAACCACACAATGACGATGTCCGAATCCCAAAACTAAAATATGACAATATCAGAACCAGAAACAAAAGTGATATGGTTCAAAAGACTAGAAAAGATCTTTCCCAGTATGCATTGCGCGATGACCGGAAATCCGAAATTTGCGATGCATGTGTTACAGGTGGATTTATAGCTCAAAAATACCATGAAAAACAGGCGTCTCTCCACAGATCTGATCTTTAACGTGGTTTGTTTTGGTCTCCGTGAAGATAGAAATGTTCAATGTCGTACTGCGAAACATTCCAGACGATAAAGCGACGACATCTCCACGGAGAAAAGCGTTTGACGGACCCAGAAACGTTTTTGCACTTTTAAGTTTGTCGCTCAGATCTTTCGTACCGTCGCCTCGGGATTATACGAGGTTTTTAAAAAGACCTTCTCAGAGTAAGGCCGGACTTTGGCTCTGTAGACGTGCATGTAAACGTAGCGAGTGTCCGTATTCAAATCCATGAGCGGTGAGGACCCCTGGTGGCGGGTTGTGGCACTTGCGGTTGTGTTCTTCACGAGTGTTCGAGCAGCAGCGTTGAGGTTCAAGTCTCGTCATTCGTCGTCGTCTTCTTCTTCACATTCTAGCTTCCGTTGGGCTCCTGCTGATCGCCTGCGGACAGAAATACGAAACATGAAGTCATTTTCTTTCTAAAGGCGCATTGTGGAACTTTTCTGGTGGAGGATACGCCTGGTCTAGAACATTGTGATGTCACGTGCACACAGCCCATCCACCTTATTTCAGAAGTTGCCATTATGGGCTTTATTCACACTTACGTCACAAACCGGACGACGTTCGGAAACATGCGGATGACGACTTCCTTTGTTCTCTGTTGGCGAAAGGAAATCTGGGAAAACTGAGAAAATGTCCCAGTTTTCTTCATCTAGACGTCACTGTATTCTTTCTTTTTTTCCTTTTAGAAATTGCCTATTAAAAGTGTTTGGAGTAACACGTTCTAAATAACAAATTATTGTAATGTGTTGCTTTATTGCTGTAATGAAGTCATGTGGAATTTCAGGGAAAATTTTTGAAAATATTTTACTCGGTATAAATGTGAGTAACGCGCGTCACAGTGCATTTTTAACTTGGATTGAAATGCAGAGTTTTTTGTTTTTCTTCATACGAATTCACTAAAATAACGGCGATGGCAGCGGTGAAACGCCAGCGTGACGGTTCTAGGTGTCGGGACGGGCCGGAGGTGTGCCCACGTAGACTGTGGGGTGACCGCGGGCGAAAGGACCGACGCAAAGCTCCACACTCCATGCTGATGCCCGATCGTGTTTACAGGACACCTGCTCCACGGGCTCGGGGTTCTCTCAAGGGCGGTCCTAGACTCCAAGTCCTAGTCCAAGATTAGTTCTGTTTTGGTCCTGTTTAGTCCTGGTTCAGACCTGGTTGAATCCTCGGTTGAGTCCTGGTTCAGTCCTGGTTCAGTCCTCAGTTCAGACCTGGTTTAGACCTGGTCTAGTCTAGGTTCAGTTCTGGTTTAGACCTGGTTCAGTCCTGTTTTAGTCAGGTTCAGACCTAGTTTAGTCTTGGTTGAGTCCTCGGTTGAGTCCTTGGTTAGTCCTTTCAGTTTAGACCTGGCTGAAGACCTGGTTTAGACCTGGTTTAGTCCTGGTTCAGTCCTGATTCAGTCTTCATTTAGACCTGGCTGAGTCCTGGTTTAGACCTGGTTGAGTCCTGGTTTAGTCCTGGTGAGTCCTGGTTTAGACCTGGTTAGTCCTGGTTGAGTCCTGGTTTAGACCTGGTTCAGTCCTGGTTCAGTTTAGACCTGGTTCTGTGAGTCCTGGTTTAGACCTGGTTGGTTAAGTCCTGGTTGAGTCCTGGTTTAGACTGGTTAGCCTGGTTAGTCCTGGTTTAGACCTGGTTAAGTCCTGGTTTAGACCTGGTTAAGTCCTGGTTTAGACCTGGTTAGTCCTGGTTTAGACTGGTTAAGTCCTGGTTGAAGTCCTGGTTGAGTCCTGGTTTAGACCTGGTTAAGTCCTGGTTTAGTCCTGGTTGAGTCCTGGTTTAGTCCTGGTTGAGTCCTGGTTTAGACCCGGTTCAGTCCAAATACGGCGCAAAAGTTCGTCATTTTCACTCTGTGATTATTTTACATTTTAAATACACAAATATTGTAATGGAACAAATTACTCTGAAACGACGAAAACTGGGATGTGTTATTTATGATTTGTTTCTAAGTCGCTTGCCCAACAGTGCCTATTAATTTGTTTATTATAATTTTGTCAAAGTTAAATAAAATCAAAGACGCAATCAGAGTTTTAAACTGCACCGAACATCAACATCCGCGTGTTTCCAAACATCTTCCAGTCAGCGTGAATAAAGTCTATTAATGTTCCTCTTATTCCCAGTGTTGTATTTGTCGTGGGGCTTCTAATTTCCACTGTGCATAAGTATAAAAACGTGACGCACAACCTGTTTTTTATGAGGAGTTAAAGTGGGCGGGCAGAATAAGGTGGATAATCGCCCTGACGTCTGCTGTAATAATGTTAAAATAGCTCCAAACAGACACGAGAACATCTGCGGTTCCGTTCGAGCTCCACATCTGGATCATGCTTCTTCTCCAGCGCAGAGAGCGAGAACATGCAGTGAGGAGAACATGCAAACCAACACTCGCAACGTCAGTGAGTCCGAAGAACCTGAAGGACCAAACCCTCCGCCGACCACAGACCGGACGCAGGACCTGGACCCCGGGACACACGGAACTTCGAAAATCTATTTATTTGAACGATGTTTGGGTAAAAATATAATACAATCAATATTCCAATGACTTTTGAAATTATGTATCTTGGTACGATTGATATTCTGAATTTAAAGAGAGGGGAAGATTATAAAATGTTAAGAATTTTGTTATTGGCTAGTAAAAAAAAGCGATTACCAGGAGATGGCGAAGTGATCAGAGGCCTAAAATAGAAGAGTGGTTTGATATAATATTAAAGGTTGTATGGAGGATTTTTTTTTAGTTTCAAACTGTCAGTGAAAGATTAAAATACCATTACAGAGACGCAGCAGCTTTGTAATTATGATGACCAAAAAAAAAAAAAAAAGAAAATCTATCAACTGTGGACGTGTTGAGGCCAGATAAACATCAGCCAATAGAAACCGAGGCTCCCTCATTTTCTATTGGCTGTTGAGTTGTCAATCAAACTCCCTAGTGTAACTGAGTCGTCGGCGCGCGGGGATCACGCGGTTTACGCAGCGGTTCTTAGAGGCTTTTTCGAACTGTCGCTTCCTCGCATTTCGCACAAAGTTTGTCGCGACGGCGGACGAGAATCCACGACCGGTTCGCCGCAAAAGAAAGTCCGTTTTTGAGGTCGCTGAATGAAGAAGAGAAGGAGAAAAGGAGCAAAGCCAAACTGAGGTGATTCTTGGAGATCTCGTCCAGCGATGGCGCGACCGAAGCAGACGAAGAGTCTAAAAACTGACGCTGAATTACTTCTAAACAGGTCACTTCAACACTAATTCTGAACGCGCACAAGGACTGTCGCTGTATTTCTCTTCCCTAAAAAAAAATCCTCTATACAACCTTTAAGTATTTATAATATGGAAAAACTCACCGCCTCACTTAGATTGGAAGGTCATAAATTAAAAAAAAATTGGAAAGGATGGTTACACTATATTAAACAACATAGATCTGACTTTGTGTAGAACCTGTATGATTGTCTGGATATGAAAGACTGAATTTACACCCCGGTTTAAAGCTACAGTGTTTTATTTTGTTTTATTTTATTTTATTTATCTATTTTTTTATTTTATTTTGTTGTATTAATTACCTGTTCTTATGAAAGTTACATTACAGTTTGTGCAAATAGAAATGAGAAATGTGGAAATGCTTAACTATGGACATTGGACATTCAGAATTGACAATATGGACAATTTGTAAATTACTTGGTTTGCTAAATTATCACGTAAATTCACATTGTGAAAAGACAATAAAATACAAATGAAAAAAATATATATATATAATACAGTGTTTCCCAAAGAGATTTTTTTGGGGAGTCGCTTGATTTGCTGCTGCGCTTTTCCTCCTTCACTCACTACAAAAACACAACCAGGCCCATCGATCGCATTAAAAACGTTTGAGGCACGTTTTGTACAATTTCTAATCATTTCTAATTATTTTATTTACTATTTTGTCCCAGTATTGTTGGTTCAGTTGAATGTTGAAAAGAAAAACAGGCTACATTTAATAATAATCCAAATAGGCGACTTACGGATCCTTTTATTTCTGCTTCAGTTTTCTGTTTTTCATTGTTTAAAAGTTGAGTAAAACTCAGCAAAAGTCAACAATAAAATATCCTCATTAATGTTCAATAATCCTCCTTTATTTTGTGATTTACGAATAATGTTTATGGACTTGGGTCACGGAGGTTTGTGGCTTTTAAAATATGGGTCCACAGAAAAAAAAAAAACACTGGTCTAATATGTCTGTTGGAACTTTTTTTACAGACACAAATCTGCAAAAAAAACAACAACTGCCAAACATTTAAAGATAAAGATTTAAAGAGGTTGTTTTACTTCTGTGTGGATATGAACAGCTCACACGTAAAATATTTAGATCACCGTGTTAACTTGTATTGTTTTGAAAATGTTATATTTGCCAAAAACGTATGAGCATGTTTTAATTTGAGCAATGCAGATTTTCTTTTGGGAGTGAGTTCACAAAAGCTTAAAATGTTCATGATTATTCTTCAAATTCTTTCTGTATATGATCATTTTATCATTGGTTCTTTTGAATTTCAATTAACGAAAAACATTAAAATGGGAAAACAGTTTTATTGTCAAACAAAAAAACAGATTTCGACCTCAATTTCCAATATTCAATTTAAAGTTTATTTCAAGTAACACCAGTCAAATCTATTTTAATTTTGATATTTTATTCTCTCTGGTTTATTTGTTCCAGAAGTTCTGCTGCAGCGTCGACCATGGATCTGTAATATAAACTATTTTTATTATAGTTCTGTGGAGTCGACTGAACAAAGCTTCTCGCTGCTTCCTGTTTCTCGTCATGACTTTCTAAGACGTGAAAGTAAACGTGTCAACGATTTTTCAGGTAAATCCTTCAGCAGCAGAACTTCAAATAAACCAGAGAGAAAAAAATATCAAAACTGAAATGGGCAACGAGACTGTTTTTTGATTGGTGTTATTTGAAATAAACATTAAATTAAATATTGGAAATTGAGGTCAAAATCAGTTTTTTTGTTTGACACTAAAACGGAAAAAATTGAACTGTTTTATTTTATTTTATTGTTTTTTGTTCTTAATTGAAATTCCATATAAACCATATATACAGGATATGAGTGAGTCTGTGTAAACCAGGAGAGTCAAACTCAAATTCAGAGGCCAAAATTAAAAACTGGGACCAAGTCGTGGACCAAACTAAATATTTACTGAAAAATTTCAACACTATCTGCATGTTTTCTCTTCTTTGACATATGTAATGTTAAATCTCTTATTAAAATAAATGTTTAATAATAGTTTTGCTTAAACATTGAATCCAGAACAAGTATAATATAAAATAATATAAGTTTTTTTTACATATTTTTTAATAAATCATGTCTCTATAGTCTGTGTGCAGCGAGCAGCTCTAATACACATTTGATTTGATCTCATGGGCCAAATGTAATTATATCAGTGGCCAAATTTGGTAAGTGTTGGTGCGTTCTGTTCCAGTCTGTGGTCTCTCACACATGCACATGCACACACACACACACACACACACACACACACACTCACACACAGGTGCAGTGACCTCAGTGGTCCACTCTGGAGGAGGGGGGGCTGGGACACACTCCCCAGGGGGCGCCGTTCGGCCTCTTCCCTACACCTGGAGGGACACAACCTTTAACACGGACAAAGGTCTACGTGAAAAATCATGAAATCATAGTCGAGAAACGATCAAAAGTCATGTTTAGGGATGTAACAAGAACCGAAATATCATGATATCGTATCGTCAGAAGTCTCGTAATAATATCGAGGGCTGTCACAATATATCTAATTACAAGTTTCTTTACTTAAATGCAGGTTTCAACAGCTTATAAACATCAGGAACTACATATCCCATGATTCATTTCAGCGCAGACAACATGAAGAAATATGTTTTTGACTTGAATTCTTGGGATAATAATTCACACCAAAATCTTATCAAGGTATTTTAAAACCAAAAAATGTGTCCTATCTACAATTATATCAGCCACTTCAAAATATCGCAATAAATATTGTACTGTGAGATGTACAGTGTTGAGAGTAACGTGTTATAAAAGTAACGAATTACTGTACTGCGTTGCTTTTTGCTGTAACGCTGTAATGTGGCGTTACTGGGAAAAAAATTATAATATTTTACTTGGTACAAATGTGAGTAATGTTACAGTGCTTTTTTAACCTGGATTGAAGTGGTGGTTTTTTTTGTTTTTCTTCATGCAAATTCGCTAAAATCACTGCGACATCAGCAGCGGTGAAACGCCAGAGACGCCCCGCGTAGACCGTCAGGTGACCGCGGGCGAAAGGACCAACGCAGAACTCCACGCTCCACGGGGCGAACCACAGCTGACGCCCGATCGCGCTGTGCAGATGCCCTGTCTGCAAGGCACTTCCAAGTTCTAGTCCAAGATTAGTCCTGGTTTGGTCCTGGTTTAGACCTGGTTTAGTTTTGATTTAAACCTGGTTTAGTCCTCAGTTCAGTCCTGGTTCAGCTCTGGTTTAGTCCTGGTTTAGACCTGGTTTAGTCCTCAGTTCAGTCCTGGTTCAGCTCTGGTTTAGTCCTGTTTAGTCCTGGTTTAGACCTGG